ATCCAACATCTTTTTCACAAGCTAGTGTGAACCAATTTGATTTCTTCGCGCTCGATTCTTGTTCTTTCGGTACAGTTCCAGGTGTTCGGTAATGTCCAATGGATGGAGGTCTAGCCACTCCACTGTCAAATTATAGTCAGTTGGCAGTTGGTTGTGAGTTTGTATGTCTCGGTATTTGAATGAAACGTTTGTTTCAGGGCAGTAGGGTTTCTGGATAATAGCAGCCGTCACATTACCAAACCGGAGATCAGTTAGTTGCAATGTGGAGAGTAATAAGGGTAATAAGGATAAAATTTTAATGATAATATGAATAAAATTTCAGAACTGAGTAATATATAGATGAATTTAGTTTGTTAATTGGTAGTGAGGATTGTGAGAGAGGGCTGAAGTGTAAGCAAGGGAGAGGAAACAGAGATAATAGGCGAGATAGATTAATTGAGTGGTCTGAGATGGCAATGGTAACAACTAGCAGGTCTCAAGATATGCATCATGATCAGCTTGTCCAAGAGGGAGATGAAAGTCCGTATGTGAGTACGTAATTATCAACTCTCTCCTTAAAGCAGTCCACTGAGGGGGCTGTGGTTACCTCGGCTAGGAGAGCATTCCAAGTTGCGACGACTCGCAATGAGAAAAAGTGTGCACGAATCTGAGTATTCGCTCTTTGATGTGCAATCTTTCGAGGATTGCCTCGAGGGGAGTGGTGGTGATGCATCGGTAAGATGCTCACATTGGGATGGTTTGGCGTGTTGAATATGGTGTGCGCCATAATCAGGTCACCTCTGATTCTCCTGTAGCTCAGTGGGAATAATCCCAAGAGCTGGAGTCTATCGTCGTACGGTTTATTTTTCAACCCTATCACCCATTTGGTTGCTCGTCGCTGCACTCGATCCAAGAGATTAATGTCTCTTTTAAGCAGAGGGGGTGCGATGACGTTGTGAACCTCCAAGTGTGGGCGCGCGTACGTCTTAAAGGGGGTTAAAAATAATTTCGGGGTTATAGCACCAAGCTGTCTTCGCATAAAGTGAAGAGTCGCATTTGCCTTGGCTGCATCCCCTACATAGTTCGGACTCGTGTGGAGGCTTTCTGTGGTTATTAAACCAATATCGCGCTCTGAGAAGACATTAGGGAGCGGACTTCCATTAAGAGTGTAGGTCGTTCGCGTCATGTAAGGCAGGAAATGCATGCCGTGGCACTTCGGTTGGTTGAGTTTTAAGCCGTTTTTCATTGCCTATTTCTCAATGGATGTAAGGTCCTTTTGAAGCTCAGTCGAATCCTCTTCGCTTCTAATGGACCTCCAGATCTTCGCATCATCTGCGTAGATCAATGCCGGTGAGCTAACTGAGCCTAGCAGGTCGTTAATAAATATCAGGAAGAGTAGTGGGCCTAGGATTGTCCCCTGTGAAACTCCCGATGTGGATACTCTCCAACTCGCTTGCACTCTGTTTACCTTGGTGCGAAACTTTCTATTCTCAAGGTAGTTCCTGAGCCAAGATACGAGTGGGTCAGTGAAGCCCATTTCTACAACATTTTCGACTAGGCGTGCGTGGGGCACTGTGTCAAAGGCTTTTGCGAAGTCGAGAAATATTACGTGCACCGGTATTTTACGGTCCAAGCAGGATGTCCAACTGTCCCATGCGATGAGAAGATTAGATGCACACGACCTGCCATTCCTAAACCCGTGTTGACCTTCAGGGAGTATTTTATTCTTATCCATGTACTCCCTCATTTGTTCGTCCATTAGTCCTTCCATAACCTTTGATAATATAGGTAGTAGCGCGACTGGTCTGTAACAGGCTGGGTCCTTTCTATCTCCTCCTTTGAAGATTGGAGAGAGAGTAGCTTGTTTCCATTCAGCTAGGAATTGGTGTGACTCCAGTGAATGCCTGAACATGTTGCATAACGGTTGTAATTGGATTTTCTATCGTGTCAGTTCAATTCGATTCCAATAGACGTATGTCGGACGCATTTCCCGATTTTAATATAAAAACACAATAATTCTAGGGGAAAATGGTCTAACGAAATTTACGCCTACCAATTCAAAATTACTCTGAACGAGTATCAATGTTCCGAGGTCTAGGTGAACTCCTATACTGCACGATGTCGAATCCAAAAATGTGGCGGTAGCCATATTATATCAAATTTAAACAACATATGTACAGTTCAGAAGCAAACACAAAAACTTCAATATAAGTACAAAATATAGAAAGAATAATAATATACAATGATAAAATCTCAAATTGGAATCAAATAAAATACCAAAAATGTCAACAGAAAAAGTCCGTCATATCATAACAAAAATATGTAAACATGGAGGGATTTTCCAAAACACAAAACATTCAAAAAGCATTCTACAACGGTGAACAGGGGACTTCAGCATACTGTTGCAAGACTATAGGGCGGATTTTGTCACAACCCGGTGACTTACCTGGGCGTAAGGATTTTAGTTTCCTTAATACTAGTTCAGGAGTGATACGGATGTTCCCTAAGTCGTCAACTGGCATTGGGTTGGCGTAATACTCTGAACATGTAGGCGCCTGGTTTTATTGATCAGCAAAGGTGGTGTTGAAGATCTCGGCCATCTCTAGGTTGGTGAGGTCTTCCCCGTTTGGTCCTTTTAGAGAACACAACCCTTGATCAGTAGGTTTTCTTTTGGACATGAACCTAAACAGATGTTTCGGGTTTGCCTCTATTCTGGCGCCTAGCCTCGTCTGGAATTGTCTCCTGTCACTTCGAACTTTGGTATTGCATCCGTTTCTCAATGCCAAGTAAGAACTGCGATCAGAATCCTTCAAGGAGACCTTCCACTTGTGCCAGGCTTTCCTCTTCGCCTGTAGCAAGCGTTCAGTGCTGCGCCTAACCCAGGTTCTTCTGTTCTCGCGTTTTTGGTGTGACTGAGGTACGTTGTCTACGACAGCGTTTTGGATGATATCTCTCACTGCTTGCCAGTGATCATCTACTGTCAGCCTCCACCACTCCCATGGCCATGGGGCATGTAGGAATACCTCATTCATGCGTGTATAATTTGCCCTATTGTAGCAAAGATAGAGCTCGTTTTTGTCCTGTGCGAGTTTTTCGTTTATCACCATGTTACACAAGACTGTGCCGCGGTCACTACTTCCTAATGGTGCGCGGACGTGATTATCCTCAACCAGGAGCTGGTCATTAGTTAACAGATAATCCAGGTTTGAGGACTTCCCTTCCTTAGTCCACCTAGTGGGACTGCATACGTGCTCAGTCAGCCCGGAGCTTCTAATGGCTGTACCAAGTTGTCTTTGGAACCAACCAGTGGGAGTAGTACATTGATTGCTGAGATTTAAAGATGGGGTATTGAAATCTCAGGCTAAGAGTATCTGATCAAATCCTAGGAGTGTCAGTTGCAGTATTACCTCAATCAGTTTGCTTTTCTGGGCCTTAGTACCCGAAGGAGGTCGGTAGATCCCTCCAATCAAGTATTTCGTGCCATTCGAGCGGAAACAACACTAACATGCTCGTGAGCTTCGTCCGGCGTACCGCTGGCGAGTTCAGGTATACCGTGAACTACCATGGTGGTCTGTTCTTGGGTGTCTGGCGCAGTTTTGGCTGCTTCACATAACGACCACGGCTTGTCATGCCTGATACGAATCAGAGAGGACAATTTGACCCATGGTCTTTGGGATGAAAGGATAATATCTTCAGCAAGTCGTGCCGAGTCAAGAGTTATCCTCATTGGAGGGGGTTTTCCTTTCGAGACATTTTTGCCTTTGAGAAGGCGGCATATTTTGGCTGGGACGTCGCACATTAGCAGAGTTGAGCAGATTTTATCCCACTGCTCTTTGTCGAAGGCAGCCCTACCTTCTAGCAAGCTTCCTTCCGATACTGGGATATTAAATAAAATGAGTGGGTTTGATCTGTCGTCCCTGATCTTGGGTGGAAGCCGCTTGTGAGTTGGGGTGTTGCTCTGTCCCTTCCTCACGTTCACCCACTGTTTTGTATTGCTGGCAGATACTGGGGGGGGGGTTAACAACAACCGGCAGTTTTGTCGGTGTGTTAGGCAGGGTTGTGGTAGCCTTGGTCACTTGTTTTAATGGTTTAGTGCCAGGCGATTTTGGTTTGGTCGTTTGGACTTTGGGGCTGATTTTGGGTGGGACCTGTGGCTTTGTCAGTGCCTCAGAAACTCTACACCGTGGGCAGATGTACCACAACCATGGGCAGGGGTGACTCAGCATGAATCAGTAGTACTCTTTAGGTACTGTATTGTCGCAGTGACAATGTACCCATGTACTACAGAAGTTGCATTCGAAAGCATGGTCACTGATTTTGACTGGTGATGAGCAGGAAAAAATGTCGTCCTTATGCTGTTTCTGGGAGTTGGACTGTGTCAACCGAGCCTTGGAGCGTCTTTTTCTCCTATTCTTAACTAGCTTACTGGTCTTTTTAGGAATAGGAGTGGTGTCTTGCTTCCTCTGTGGTGTCTGAGTTGAGTGATCTAAAGTCTGGACACTGAGAGGCTTACTATCGACAGACTTTTTGGGTTTTTCGATGCACTATCGACCCCGGGGTTTACGCCTCTATAAGTTTTCCTGGTTATTACGGTGTAAAGTGTACTAGCGACCTTATTACTTGACATGATGCCAGGGAGATTAGGAGGCGAATACCGAGATAATTAGAATACGAGAAACACAAAAAAGGGATTTAGGAAAGAAGAAATTTAGCAGTGTATAATAAAACTACGAGGAGTAGAGCCTGAAAGTACTCCAAAATTGCAACTTTACCTTTGGCCGTATTAGTAAGTAACTTTGCGTTTATCCAGTAACTTGTCCACAAGTCCTGTGTTTGTGGGTGAGCGGATGTATGTATGCTGCCGTCCCATTTTGGCTCCTAGGGGAACAACAAAGAGCTCTACCATCCGAAAAAACACAAATTTAGAGAATTAATGGTTTGCTAAAGCATTGCACCAAAGTTCGAAATTCGAAGTTTGCAGTTGCTTCACCAGTAACCCTTGGACATCGAATTCTGCCTATGTCACAAGCGGATTGTTAGAAGGGGATGGAGTGGTTCAAGGGCGAAGTCTCTGATGCTGTCAGATCCGTAAAACAGGAATCCAAAGTACTTCTGGTTTTTATTAAAGGTTTGGATAAAGCACATGTTAACGTATCTACTTCTTAGGAACTGATGAGGATTCTAGTTTCGTTTCAAGTCAGTTCGATGATCAGGTTGGGGAAGTTTGTGATAATATAATATGTAAGCGATTGTCCATGCATTTTCCTTGAATGAGTGTCTGTATGTTACTTAACCTGTTAAATAAGTTGGGGGGGGATATTCCTTTTTTTATCAATAACTTTTATTTCGAGTCGGGTCAATTAGCCAGCGTATATAAACCTCTCGCCAGTACAGCACATGTTAAACGCACCTTCTGGAGATCACTTGACTGGCGGTAGAACTCGCAGTTGGTTGCGCCTGGACCACAGTCTGTCTTGGCGTAGATAAATGCAATGAAAGTACCCCCTCAAACCGATTTCTCACTTGTATGGAGCTTTCTAAATTAGGACCACATAATCGACCTCATGAGATTCCGACCCATTAGTGCTGCCTCAGCTGTAGTACTTAGTGCCTTGCCACCACCAGATGAAGGTGCCACATGGTCCCCTGATAAACGCATACGAAACAAGCTTTTTGAAGCGATAGATGGACAGCTAATTTGTAGTGTTTCATTAGTTTCGGGTGCTGCTTGCGGATAAATAACATACATTAACGTTAAAAGGTAGCCAACCATACCTGTCATCCGGTCTGCATTAGTGTGTGAACGTTGGCGAAGGCCAGTTTGAATGACACACGTGCTTTCAAAAAGTTTGGAGTTCGTATATGTGGTAGCATTCAACTTTCCACCTGCTGGTGACTTGAAATGGTTGAAAGGTAAGCGAATTCACAAAATGGGGATAAATGGCGTAGGTGAGCGGCGCAATATAAAATTAAAATGGTTAATAACTGATAAAAGTGAGTATAGTTTGTGAAAATGCGGGTTAAAGGGAGAGTTAATTTTCCAAGTGTAGTCATTTAGTTTGTGTTGGATGAGATTCTGTCGGTTTGCCCGAGCTGAAGCCGGTTGTTTTCCCGAAGACTTGAAGACCAGAAGGTCTAATCCTCAACATGGTTGGACACTTTGAGGAGCTTCAGTCCGTGACCAGGTTCAGATGCCATTTGTTCCTCCGCAACCCTAGACCCTACATGCTCTTGGTTTTAATTACGGTTTTCCAACTTCCCTAAGTGGGTCCTCACTATCTGCCAACCCAGTTTAGGAGTCGAACACGATTTTAATCTTCTAGATTTAGTGAACACCACCACAAGAAGGCAGTGAGTAGGACTTCTGTCAGTCAATCAGCTGCAACGTAAAACTTAGTACGTACATGTATCAGTCCAGGTTACCAAACCACACTAACACAGATGAAATTGTCAGTTGTAGCAGTATTAATAGTAACCGAAAAGATCAGGGGTTGAAGGTTCGATTCGAGAATTATAACCCAATGAAGTAAATCCAAGAAGAGAAAAAAGGTCATGAGGAATTCAGGAAATTAAAATTTGAGAGAAGACAAGGAATGGGTGCACATGCGCTGCTTCAAGAGATTTTGAGCAGTGTCACTAAGTCCTTAGCTATCGATTATGATTGTCTCGCAGACCCTAACCAGGTAGTCTACACTTATCAATATGATTAATTCAGTTTTCAGTAACTTCATGGATTTGTGCCATACTTTGGTCCCCCATAGTAAGATTCTGACAAAATTGTCAACAATTCAGTCCGGTACATATTCACGAATTATAATATCTGACAGTCAGGCAGACCAAAAGATATTTTTCACCTATGATTGTAATTGGATTCACTGATTTACTCAAATAACCATTACCAAAATACTGATAGGAATTCGGTGTTAGAAAAGAACCATTTATAAATAAGTAGAAAACTAAAGTGGTTTTCGCCGAAATACAATGTTTTTAGGATTCTGCGAAGTTTAACTGTTTCAATTGAAAAACATCGTTTTTTCATTATCGTGCATTTTGTCACTTAGTCAATCTTGTGCGTTTTTAATCCCATTAATCAGAATTACCGCTAACTATTTTCAGGCCTCCAGTTGGAAGCTTCTTCCCACGCCGCTGTTCAGTTTTCAGCAGTTTATGCAGTCCTTACTGTTCCTTGTATTTACCTCATTGGTCCAACTGGACAGGTAATTGATATAAAGTTGGGTCGTATTGAGAGTAAAGACTTGATCGACTGGATAAAAAAATCAGAATCAGGATCAGCTAATAGTAAGTTAGTTTGTAAGAGAGTGTTTTGTCTAAATTAATGTCTTAATTTAACGTTCAACACTCCTAATTAAGCAAGTCGATTTATTTTTTCGTTATTTTGTACATAGTTATCTTCGAGACTCCACTTGATAATCGGTGAAAACAATGCTTCTTCTTGAAATTAGTTTCTAGCTATATGAAAAGGGTGTATGACTGATTAATCATAAAGGTTTACTCATTTGTGGCTAGTTATTCCAGATACAAATCAAACCAATAAAAATAAGCTTCATCATTTAATCGTTAAATATATATCTCTAATATGTATGTGGAAGATTGTCTAGAAATATCGCAAACTGCCCGAGGTCAAATATGTACTCTACTGATTTTCGGTACAGATTAAAACCTTCAGTGAGGGACCCCAAGGGTCTCAGTTCGATCACTGGTATGGTTGTGAGTCCGCAGTGTTAATGAGTCTCACATGCTAGAATCAGAAAATTACTTAGGGCACCCTCTTCCTCAATGATTGCCTAGCTGGAATCAGTTAATGATGCAATCCTTGAAAAAATATAATTATCAGATTGTGAATCTGTGTTGTGTGTAGACTTGTAGCATAAATACCTCATATCCCTTCCTCATTAATCTCGGTACATCCATAAATGCTTTTGATTATTTACTAGGGTTTAGGAGAATTTAACTTCATTAGTTTAGTCATTTCTTCGTTAGGTGAAATGATTTTCTTAAAAAGCGTTGTTAGAAATGGTACTTGGGCATCAAGTTTCCGTGTTATGATTTGTGACGAAATCAGGGGTTCCTAACATTTCATTTTGAATAGATTCATTGACTATAAGTACTCCAAGGAAAACACTCATTACTGTTGAGGAGAAACCAAGTGTTGAACCCTGAAAGATTGCAATGTTTTTCGTAAAGCGTTGATCATTAGCTATCCTGACTAATCATGTGGGTTTACTTTCTCATAGTTTTCTGTACCAACACTAACTGTGGTGAATTAAATGAAGAGATGATGATTACTGTGTGAAACTTGATTGTATTTGAAAGCACGTCCTTCGATAACATATCCCTTTTAACTAAGTATGAACGAAGTTATTAACTGAGGTCAGGTAGTTTAGTCAGGTGACTTTGACAATATCGTTTTCGCGTATAACGTTTAGACAGATGCTATCACAAGTTCCTCAGCAGATTCATCAGTCAGCCAGTCAGTCAGATGCAGCGTAGAACTTCGTACGTAAGTACATCAGTTCATGTTGCCATACCACATCAACACAGAGATGTAATTGTCAATTCAAATCCAATAGTAGAAGAGGTAGTAAAGGTATTAGAAGTAATCGGAGAGGTTAGGATTAGAACATATTATTCAAGAAGTATGATTCAGTGAGAAAAGTTTAGAAAGTCACAACTAGAGGTGTTGAAGAATCCAGAAGATTATGATTTGAGAGAGCATAAAGAATAAATGCACCGGCGCCATTGCGAACGATTTTGAGCCATGTCATTCAAGGTCTCTAACCATCGATTATTATCATCTCGCGGACCCCAACCAGGGAGTCGACAATTACCGACATGGCCAAGTCCATTCATAAATGACTTCATGGATTTATGCCATGTTTTGGTTTGGCCGCCCCAAACCTTCTTCCAACCTACTCCTACACTACAAAATAAAGCTTTTCGAGGCAGTCGGTGGTTAGGCATACGCAACACATGTACCAACCACATCAACTGATGAAGTTTCATTACTTCATCTATTGATCTGCCATCCTTACATAGCACCCGATTCCTAATAACAGCGTTGCTCACTCGGGTGTCCCACGATATACGAGCAATGCTTCGAAGACACCTATGATCGAAAACCAATGACCGACGAATATCTTCTACTCTCACTGGCCATGTTTCACAGACATAAAGTAAGACGGAGCGAACAACTGCGAAGTACACTCGTCCTTTAGTCAGCACACGGATATCTCGCCTTCGCCATAAGTGTCGGAGGTTGGCAAAAGCCAATCGAGCCTTCTGTATCCGAGCTGAGATTTCGTCCGTCACCAGGCCATCGGCACTGATGAGACTCCCAAGATAAGTGAGGCTGTCTACACGTTCGACTACCTCACTCCCTATCACTAGCTCAGGTGCCGATGAAACCCAGTCTTGCAGCATCATTTTGCATTTCGAGGGAGAAAACCGCATCCCAAACATGCTTGCATTGTTGCTTATTGTAGTCAGAAGACTGCATTTTGTCAGCGTCTTAACCGAATAGAACTATGTCATCGGCATATTCTAAGTGGATAAGTGAGACCCCTGGTAAAAGATCTACTCCTGAAAATTCAGACGAGGATAAGGTTATTTCTAGGAGCATGTCTATGATAAAATTGAACAAGAATGGAGAAAGTGGAAAGCCCTGAAGAACACCACTTGAAGTAAAAAATTCCTATGACAGTTCGCCATAAGCTCTCACTCGACCTGTAGTGTTCGAGTAAAAGGTTCATATAAGGTTAATGAACTTCTTTGATACACCTTTCAATGACAGACACTGCCACAGAACCTCACGATCAACAGAGTCAAATGCCGCCTTAAGGTCCAGGAAAACAACTATTGTAGGACGCCTAAATGTGTGTCTGTGTTCCAGGACCTGTCGTAGTGTGAAAATGTGGTCTATACAACCACGTCCAGGTCGAAAACCAGCCTGGTTTTCTCTAGTCTGCTCTTCACGAGCTTTCGTTAAGCGTCAAAGTATTATTGAGGCCAATATTTTAGATACCATATTAGTTAGACTTATTCCCCTGTGATTGTCACAAGAAGACTTTTGTCCTTTCTTAAAGATTGGGACAATCAGTGATTGAGACCAGTCAGATGGGATTACGTCCAGTTTCCAGATTCTACCTAGGATTTCAGTCAACCTAGCTGCTAAAACTGGACCACCATCCTTAAATATCTCAGGGGTCAGTCTATCAGGACCTGCAGCTCGCCCTCGCTTCAGATTTACTAACGCTTTCTCAACTTCATTAGGACTAGGGGGACTTACGTCGATTTGCCATTCAGGATGACTGGAGATCGTGGGCAACCGAAGAGTGCCTCGAGGCCAGTTGAACTGATCCCTAAAGTGTTCTGCCTACCGATCCAATCTCCTGGATTGAGAATGGATAATAAGATCATCCTTTTCCGAAATAGTCTCACTTACAGTCAGATTCCTGATACCAGTTTCCTTGATAAGTCGGAACAACTGTCTGCTGTTACCTATCGCCGCTGCCTTTTCCATCGATTTTGCTTTCGCCACCCATCACTGTTCACGGTCGTTACGTAGACTTTTTATCAGTCTGCGCCTAAGCTGACTTCGCTCTTCATCATGTTCAGAGCCAGGTGCGATGAGTTTTCGAGCCTCTATCAGTTCGATGGATGCTACTGAGATCCAATACTTTTCCCTAACCTCATGGTTTACCTTAATAGAAGATATCGCTGCTGTTTCCGCAGCCTTTTCGGATATCGTTCCAAGCTGCCTCCGGATGGGAACCACTTATATGATTGTCTGACTGTTTTCCCAGTTCTTCCTGAAATATATTCTTAGCTTTATTATCATTAAGTAGAACCCTAAGACGCTTCTTTACGGTGTCTGCGTGTTCTGCGTGTTCGGATAGCGCCTGACGGTTTACAAGTCAGAAGGAGAATTCGAAGTATGAATACGTCTATATTTTGGACACACCACATAGCGAAGTTGAAAAGCAGCGAAAGAATGGGCGAAGGAGGCGAACGAATAGGAGAAGCGCATTAGAGAAGGCTAAGAGCGAACTCAAAGAAATAGAGCATGACTTAGAATATATAGCCAGACAAATATAAGACAGACATGCAACAAGCGAAATAGGCGCACATGAACAAAGCGACGAATGATTGACAAGGTCAAATGACATGTCATGTGAGCTCATACAAACCAGACAATAATAAGAACCAATGGTTCATATAAATTGTTGCTACGCGAATGGCGGTTAAATAAATTAATCGAAAGGGCCTAACCAACTTAGTTGTAAGCGAACTGGAATATATGTGGAGGCGCTACAGTAGATATAGGCTACCTGGTTGGGGTCCGCGAGACGATAGTCACCAATGGTTAGAGACCTTGAACGACATGGCTCAAAATCGTTTGCAATGGCGCAGGTGCATCCACTCTTTGTGATCTCTCAAACTCTAACTTGGATTCCTCATCATCTCTATCTCTCTCCTTCTAAATTTATCTCACTGAATTATACTTTTTGAATCATATCTTCGCTCGCTAATCTTCTCCATTGCTGCTAATAATTCTTCTATCACTATCACTCTTGGATTTGAACTGACAGTTACGTCTCTGTGCTGACGTGGTATGGCAACCTGAACTGATGTACTTGTGTACGAAGTTCTGCGTTGTCTCTGTGTCTGTCTGTCTTTCGATCGAAATTCTATTCATTTGTTTGACAAATTATAAGCCAGTTCCATTTAACAAATTCTCTAAAATACTTCCATTAATAACTGTGGCTGGTTAAACTTCTTTTATCGGGACTTGGGCTCATATTTTTAAATAGGTCCTCTTATACAGCTGCCTACTAAGACCAACTGGATTGTACGCTTCTGTTGATGGTCAAAACAAAATGCTGATCTTTTCATTAATTATAATGAACGTTCTTTTAGACAACTTACTTTTTTGAGCAAGGAATGTACGTATATAAGTTTTTTTCATATTCCTACATGATTGGAATTGAAACCTTTATTGTGTTCTATGTACATTTTCCTAAACTAGTTTCAGATATGACTTCAATTACTGCAAGCAATGTACCCAAGGATGAGCTTCACAACGAGATCGAGCAAACTGCCTCATCAAATGTAATGGAGTCATCTGTCTCATCTACATCGGAGACCCAAACTAAAAATTGTGAAACATCTCTAAAAGAACGGGTGGACTATGCCTACCAACTTATTGAAACTCACAGACAACAAAAAGAAGAGGAAACTAGAAAAAAATCTGTTGAGGCTGAAGTTAAACGTCGGGAAGTAGGAAAAGCCATGAATGAATTTAAGGTGAGGAATTCAGGCTTATGATAACTGAAGTTACTTTTAAGTTAACATTATACTCTCTTTTCATCTGATTACTGGATGTATATTATTTTTAACTTACTGCTTCTACTTAGAAAATGTTACTGTTTTTCAAGTATGAAAGAATGAACTTCCTCTTTGTTTCCCCAATGCAGATTTTTTTCAATTCTCAAATTTACATAAAGTGCATGTTGATTACTAAGTGTAATCTATTTCATTAAACCCATCCCATCCGGAGGCAGCTTGGAACGATATCCGAAAAGGCTGTGGAAACAGCAGCGATATCTTCTATTAAGGTAAACCATGAGGTTAGGGAAAAGTATTGGATCTCAGTAGCATCCACCGAACTGATAGAGGCTCGAAAACTCATCGCACCTGGCTCTGAACATGCTGAAGAGCGAAGTCATCTTGATCGCAGGCTGATAATAGGACTGCTCAATGATCGCGAACAGTGGTACATATATATATATGTATATATATATATATATATGTATATATATATACATACATAAATATTTAAATATATATATATATATATATATATATATATATATATATTTATACATAAGCAACGGCAACAGGTAACAGTAGATAGCTATTTAGACTTATCAAGGAAACCGGAATGAAAAATACGACTGTTTACGAAACCGTCTCGGAAAAGGATGAGACTTATTCATTCTTAACCCAGGAGATTGGATCGATAAACAGAGCACTTCAGGAATCGATTCAACTGGCCTTCAACCACAACTCAGTTACCCACGATCTCCAGTCAACCTAAATGGTAAATCCATGTAAGTCCTCCGACAGTAAATAAGGTTGGGAAAGCTATTGGAAATCTGCAGCGAGATAGAGAAGCAGTTTCTGCTGCAGCGTCTGTCATCAAAAGGTGTACCGAATAAGTACATTAACCCTATAAAAGCTCTCTGCTCGAACAGGTCGAGTTAGAGCTTATTGCAGAGCTGTCATCAGAATTCACTGCCTTAAATGGTGTCCGTCAGGTCTATCTACTCTCTCCATTCTTGTTTAACTTTGTCGTAGCCATCCTTTCAGAGTTAACATTCTCATCGTCTGACTTTCCAGAGGTGAACCTCCTATCAGGAGACACGCTTGTTGATTTAGAATATGCCGATGACATAGTTCTATTTGGTGAGGACGCTGACAATATGCAGAGTCTTCTGACTACCCTGAGCAACAATGCAAGCATGTTTGGGATTCGGTTTTCTCCCTCGAAATGCAAAATGTTGCTTGAGGATTGAGTTGCATCGGCACCTGAACTAAGTGATTGGGAGCATGGCAGTCGAGCGTATAGACCGCTTCACTTATATTGGAAGTCCCATCAGTGCTGATAGCCTGGTGACTGACGAAATCTCAGCACGGATACAGAAAACTCGATTGGCTTTCGCCCACTTGCGTCACTTATGGGACAGCCGAATATGTGATGCTATCGTTAGGAAACTAGTACTAGGTAAGGATGGCAGATCAATGGATGAAATATAAGCTTCATCAGTTCAGGTGGTTGACAAACGTGTTACGAATGCCCAACCACCGACTGCCTGGTCGAGCTGTGTTTTGCGATGTAGGAATAGGTTGGGAGAAAGCTAGGGGCGGCCAAACCAAAACATGGCAAAAATGCATGAAGTCACTGACAAGTGAACTGAGGCATGTCGCTCGGTGTCGATTACCTGGTTGGGATTTGCGAGACGATAATAACTGATGTTTAGAGACATTGAACGAAATGGCTAAAAATCGTTTTCAGTGACGCAAGTGCATTCCTTCTTTGTTCTTTCAAATTCTAATCTTCTGAATTCATCATCCTTCTCTTTCTAAAGTTATCTTACTGAATTATACTTCTTGAATAATATGTTTGAACCCTAATCTTCTCCATAACCGCTAATACTTCTGCTATCTCTACCACTAAGGGATTTGAACGAACAGTTGCGTCTTTCTGCTAATTCGGTATGGCAACCTGAACTGATGTACGCTCGTACGAAGTTCTGCGTTGTAACTGACTTACTGACTAAAAGAGTCGAAGGCGGTACCAAAATCAAAAAACACCGGTTGGTATGCAATAAGTATGTCGGCGAAGTGTGAAGATATAATTAATGTATCGACAATTAGAACAAAGCCTGCTTGTTATCCCAGAGTCAATCTTTCGCGGGTCTTTCAGTAATAGTTCGAACGCAATCGGAAGTAGACTTATCAACCTAAAGTTGTTGCATAGACATCATAAACCCTTTTTAAAGATAAGGATTACGGTCACTTTGTTCCAAAATGTTGGGACACTTCCTAAATCCCAAACCCTAACAAACAATTCATTTAGTTCTGTAACCAGAGGTTTGCTAACATAGTTATCAAGAGCTCCATGTGAGTCATGTGGGTCTGGTGATTTATTGTGCTTCACGACTTGAAGTATTTTGCGAACACTTGTCACCGGTTATGAAAAACAAAGTTGTCTAGTCAACATTTCTGGGGCAGCAAAACAGCTAAACTATTACTCGGGAAACTGTCCATCATCCAAGACATCGATAGATATCAACGTTGGTGTCCCATCAACTTCACAGATTACTTTACTCACCAGACTTCTTGCTGATAGTAATATTTAGTTCCCGGTTGTTACTAGGTGTTGTCAGTATTTCATCTGGTTAGCGCGCTCGTTTCAGTAGTTTTTGGAATCAGACAGTCGTTCGTGATAAATATCCTTTACTGAAAGCTCATAGTTAAACCATTTAGATATCATTGTGCTCCTTCTAACTAACCCGGACAACATAATGGCTCTAAGAATAAAAGCACAAAAATAGACATCAGATTTCTTTTACAATGCTCACTTTGGCTGTTTACATGTCATGATGAAATCTCCACTTGAGCGTTCCATTTTCTTGTGGCTCGTAAAATTCCGTCTCTATTTCGCTCAGTAGCTCACTACCGTTTAGGACGTGATGCGAAACCTGTTATTGAAAGAAAATCAGATGAACTATACTTCATGATCTGTAAATAATTTGCACGTGAACTATTTGCTTAGAGACATTTTGTTCTCATTTCAGGAACGTCAGAGACAAAAAGAGATCGATGAAGCTCTAGCTGAACGTCGTAAAGAAGAAGCTGAATCACGCATACGACTGGAACAGTTGCGTCGACAAATCGAAGAGGATCGTAAAGCAAGAGAAGAAAGATGGTCACAACTGAATGGTTCGCAACCTTTAACGTCTAGTAATCCAGTTCATGTAATAGAAGAATTTCCTAAAAGTTCATCTTATTCAAACGAGGTATAAATTTTGTTTGTTTATGCGCATTTTCCGAGTCATGTATTTCAAATTGGTTGAAAGTTTATGCTCTTATATATATCTATAGTTATATGTCAAATTGTTCAGTGGCTGCTTTAAAAGATTTATGTATAAATACATAACGAATGTCTATGCAAAAAGCTATGAAATATTTATCATCCAGAATCATGTGACAGTCATTAATGTGATTTTGATATTCTGTCTGTACTATTCAGTGTAATCAAGCAGTAGTACTTGAATTTCTACCTTAGCGTTCTGTACTCGAACTTTGCCCCACTTAATTCTGTTTGTACAGTCTATTTGTATCACTACCCATCATACAAATAGCACATCTCGGTACTAGAACTTGAGTTACACAATACATTCAACTTCCTACTTAATATTATTTTAGTATATAACTGAGTATTCTAACTTGCTAATCAGTCGTCCGATGAACAAGAATCTTTTCGGTTATTGTTAGGATATTCATCAAATATCCTAATTATTGCTGAATTCCTATTGGTTAATTCCTACTGGTTAATTTTATGGTCGTCTAGATATCTATGTCACGTACTCCAGTGTTGTTTCTTATTGGTCGTCCGGACTATCAATGTCATTTCAAATGTTCTTTCCTATTGGTCGTCTTAAGTATGGATGTCACAGACTTCGATACTCTTTCTTATTCGACCTAAATGTATAAATACGCAGTATCTGTAAAGTTTTGTATTCCATTCCTTCCTGCCTTCCTCTCTACTGTACTCGACCCATTAAACAACTTCATCTAACGGCGTTGTGTTCTGATATATAGGAGATTGGGAATAGTATTTGGGTCGTATTGGAATATTTGAATTCGGACGTCGGTAGGATTTGAATAGCTACGCAGCCGCATTATAACAATTATAGATATCTATTTGCCTTTGCTTTTCAAAACATCTTTTCATTAAATCTTCTCAAATTAATTCAGTGAACTGTATTTTGGAGGAATCTCCAACTCCGTTAGAATTTTGGCATTCTGTTTTGATGACACTGCAAAATGTTTTTTCCTACTTTGTAACATCTTGCACAAATACACGTTCGTGCCAGATCCTACATTGTTTTTACAACTGATTGATTGAAATAAAACAGTAAGTATCGCAATCTTTTGAGAAGATTATTGGATTTTTATGGATAACCTACAATCTAAATCCAAAAATCGGTTCTTTGAGAGTGATGAGACTTTTATATTTCTTACAGGAACGACATTCCTATGGATTGATTATTATCATCAGGGTTCCTGTTCTTCAATTGTATGTTACACGTTGATACTCTGACTAAAAACAATGATAATTCAACTCAGGAGTTGTGTGTCTTCATGAGATATGCATTTTACATGTATTTCTGGTAAACTATCTTACTGCTTAGGTCATTCTGGATATAATGTTATGCAGTAACACAAACTAACTGACGACCAATTTACGCTGCATGTTTTGCTCTACTTTCTACTGTAGGTTCGTTTAAAATTAAGGTCATTAGAGGGCGGTCATGTAGTGCATCGATTCCCCGCTACAGCAACCATTTCTGGTGATGTACGAAATTGGCTCCAAGACCTGGTATCCTGTAATTTCCAAATGGAGGATAACCCTCTAATTTTGGGTGAAACCGAGCGCAATAATTTTAAAAATATAATTCTGAAAGGATTTCAGTTTTTGCAGCCACATCCTAAAAAGTATGTCCTAGCGTTTGATTGTTTGTATAAACCACGCATACTCGTTAGTATATATTTTCTAGATGTTTACTACCTTCTCTGGAGTTTGTTTCTGTAACAATCCACTTCGAATAAAGTTGACGGAGTTGAAAATATGAAACCCTAGATCATATGCGCAAAGAGTTATATAAGCGGAAAATAAAATGGCACTTTCGCACAAATCCTATCGGGAATTTATAGAAATGTTTTCGATTATTGCTTATAGGAGAAAGGGCTAGTACTAACACCCAAACAATTTTCTTAACATTTGCCTCACAAAGATATGTGACTCTGTTTAGCTGACAGACCGCTTCCAAAATGCTGTACTTTGGCTTTGTCACTATAATAACATTTCCGAACTTGTTTTGAAATGTTGTTCCATCTCAAAATAATTTTGGAGAAACCAAATTACTGTTACTGAATTTAGGTAACATTGGGGTTTGTATGTCTCATATTAATCAACAGTTACTTGGTCGTCAAAATCGAGAATTCCGCTAAAAAGGTAATGGCATTTTAATATATTTGCTGGTTCTGAGCAACATAGGTATTTTTAAAATTTTTAATAGGCGTTCGTCATTTTAAAGTAAATTATTCCACAATTAACGTCGTTTCGTGTGAGAGAAGATCAGTATGTGCTTTAATCCTGATCAGATCATAAATACCTTTATGGATGACTCGTAGTTTTTACAGACTTCTTCATAGATCATTAGAGAGCAACAGGATTTGTTCACAGGAAATTCGTTCGTGTCATTTAAATGGAACAGTAGTTACATGATTTCGTTTTAAATTCTAGCGGTAAAATGATGAATTCCATATAACATATGCTTCAAATAGAATCTGTGTTAAAATCCATAAGCACTCCGTGTTATTTCGCTTTCACTCCATGTCATCCTTATTGTATGGTGGTAGCAGAAAAACTTATCTCTTTTAATCGACTTATCATGGTGTCCTCTATGGAGCTTTCCATTAACCACCAGTTAACAATAATTTTTAACTTTGGTACACAAAAGTAAAAGTCGCTATTTTGATCTGTTCTACAGTGTAATAATATAGTTCATCCGAATATTACCTGGAAGATGTCGATACTAATTTCAAATTATATCCTTAAATATTATGTTAGTTATATCTTGCCACTGTTTTACTTCAAAAAAGTAAGTTAGTGATGTTACAACTTTCTCAATATCTTCCACGTAGGATTTTGGTACCAGAAGAAGAATCTCAGTCATTGAGAGAACTTGGATACTGCCCATCAGCGGCATTGTTTCTTATACCAAACAAATCTAATCAAGCTATCACACGTTCAAAAGGTTAGTTCATTGTTTTAATGTCGAACAATTTTCGGATTTTATTTTATTCATTTAGTATTTTATTTTTAATATCAAGGCATTCGATTTGCCATGGATGAGTTCATATTTAGTATTGATAATTTAATTTAATACCAGGCAGGTCGATTGGAGAACGATGAGATTAAAAGCAGCTACTCAAGGTCTGAGAGCGAAGTCGTACTGTTGACTGTAGAGAGGTGACAGCAGTAAGGTGTTCCCCTCAAACAACCAGCATGTGCAGCGATGCTGCCTTCTGACAAGGAAGGAAGAGGTTAGAAATCGCCAGACTTAAAAATGTCACACCTCACCCTACCTCACGGGTTTCCGTCTCCGGCGGTTAGGCATTTTTAAGAAGAGCAGTGCTAACACTTTAAGAACTTAGAAAAAGGCCGTGCGTGACCGACCTCAAGCAGTTACGCCTTGGGCTTTTCGGTCACACTTCTAGGTCTCTAAGACCGACACTAGTCTGCCTTCCTTTTCAGGTCCCTCAAGAAACCACCTTCCACGGTGTGGGCAACCGGGAAACGACACCTGCCCTCATACCCGTACCCGCACGCGAGTCGGAATGTTACAAACAAATTCTACCTACACCCCTTGACATCTCCCCTTTCTCCATGACTAACATTTTTCACATTACTTTATCACCCTGCACCGCAAATGCAAACGATGCGAGTTCACGAAACGTCGTTCCTGGTTTCCTGAAACCCTGTTCTAAATTACATGTAGGGGCATTTAATGTACGGACATTGTGTCAAATAGGGCAACAGGCTTCATCAGCTAGGACTTTAGAATCTCGTGCCATCGATGTATGCTGCTTCTCGGAAACGCGCATACAGGATCCTAGTAGTATCATTCACTTGACCTCACCTTGTCAAAATAAAGAAGCAGCTCGATTTACCCTTCGTGTATCCGGTAGCTCTGATGCTGCTTCCAGGGGTCTTGCTGGTGTAGGCATAGTATTGAGTCGTAGGGCAGAACTAGCTCTCCCAAACTGGATCCCTGTAGACAGTCGCTTATGCGCTGTCCGACTAAACGGGACTGTAAGGACTCGGAAAGATAGGGACAATCACCGTTGCCTCTTCATCGTATCTGCCTATGTCCCCACTGACTGCAGTTCAGACGACGTTAAAGATGAGTTTTACAGAAAGCTTTCGGACCTTCTCCAAAAAGCTAGGCGCTCTGATATAGTTATAATGGCTGGTGACTTCAATGCTCAATTAGGTAGACTGAGTGAGAAGGAAAGACACTTGAGTAGATCTTATGGTGTCGCGAATCAAAGAACAGACAATGGCGACCGTCTGTCGCAACTATGCTCAGATAACCAACTATTTCTAGCAAACACTAACTTTAAGCATAAGGAAAAACATCTTTTGACTTGGCGACCCCCGAAGTCGTCTCAATGTTGGACCCAACTAGATCGTATCTCCATCAGCCACCGATGGAGGTGTTCGATAGAAAACTGTCGCTCGTTCTAGGGCACATGTTTAGATTCAGATCATGCCCTAGTGCGAGCGCGTATTTGTTTGAGGCTCACTGGACGTAAAAGGACACTGTAATAAAGCCTTTTCGAATTCTACTTAATGATAATAAAGCTAAGAATGTGTTTCAGGAGCAAGTTAAAAGGCAGTTAGGCGACCATACAAATGATTCTTACTCATCGAACTGATAGACGCTCGGAAACTCATCCCACCTGACTCCGAACATGACGAAGAGCGAAGTCAGCTTAGGCGCAGGTTGATAAGAGCCCACGCAATGATCGCAAACAGTGGTGGTTGGCGAAAGCGAGAGCGATAGAAAAGGCCGCGGCGATAGGCAATAGCCCACAGCTGTTCCGACTTCTCAAGGAAACCGTTATTAGAAATCCATGTGTTAGTGGAACTATCTCAGATAAGAATGGCTGTAGAATTCATTCTCAAACCAGGGGATTTGATCGATAAATAGATCATTTAAGGGAGTGATTTAACTGACCTTCATCCATACTTCGCTTGCCCGCGATATACAGTCATCCTGAATGGCAGGTCGATATAAGTCCCTCGAGTTTCTATGGATTTGGGAAATCTATAGGAAATCTGAGGTAAGGGAGAGCAGCGGGCCGTGATAGACTTACCTTTAAGATTTTTAAGGATGGTGGTCCAGTTTTAACAATCGGATTGACTGAGAGCTTAGATAGAACCTGGGCACTGGGCGTAATCCCATCTGACTGGTCTCAGTCGTTGATGGTCCCAGCCTATAAGAAAGAACAAAATTCCTCTTGTGACAATCACAGAGGAATCAGTTTGACTAATATAGCGTCTAAATTATTATCTTCAGTAATAATTCAACACTTGGCTAGATCTCGTGAAGAGCAGACTCGAGAGAACCAGGCTGATTTTCGACCTGGACGTTGAGGTATAGACTAAATTTTCACACTACGTCAGCTCATAAAACATTGACACACGTTCAGCCGCCCCACAATAGTAGTATTTCTTGACCTTAAAGCAGTGTTTGACTATGTTGAAAGTGAGGTTCTGTGGCAGTGTCTATCATTAATAGGTGTATCGAAAAAGTACATTAACCTTATACAAGCTCTCTACTCGAACACTACAGGTCGAGTGAGAGCTTATGGCTAACTGTCATTGGAATTATTTAGTTCAGGTGGTGTTCGTCAGGACTGTTCACTTTCTCTATTCTTGTCGTAGACATGATTTTAGAGTTACAATTATATTCGTCTGACTTTCCAGGAATGGACCTTCTGCTAGGATACACGCTCGTTGATTTAGAATATGCCGATGAGATGCTTCTATTCGGTGAAGACGCTGACAATATTCAGAATCTTCTTACTACAATAAGCAATGATGCAAACATGTTCGGGATGCGGTTCCCCCCCGAAATGCAGCGTTACTTCAAGATTGGGTTGCATCGACACCCGAATTAGTGATAGGGAGTGAAGTAGTCGAACGTGTAAACCGCTTCACTTATCTTGGCAGTTTCATCAGCGCTGATGGCCTGGTGACTGACGAAATCTCAGCACGGATACAGAAGACTGATTGGCTTTTGCCAACCTGCGTCACTATGGCGCAGGCGAGATATCCGCTTCTTAACCAAAGGACGAGTGTACTGTGCAGCAGTTCGCTCTGGTTAGGACTTGTGTTACGAATGCCCAACCACCGAATGCCTCGACGAAACCGTTTGCAACATCGCAGGTGCATTTGTTCTTTTTGTTCTCTCAAATCCTTATCTTCTGAATTCCTCATGACCGTTTTTTTCTAATTTTAATCGATTCCTCTGGGATATACATATCGAATGATACATTCAATTATTAATCTTTTTGATTACTGCTAATACGTCTACTACCTCTACTACTATGGGATTCGAATTGACAATTGTCTCTTTGTGCCAAGTGGTATGCCAACTTAAACGTATGTCCGTACGTACAAAGTTCTACGTTGTAACTAACTGACTGACTGAATAATTGACAGCTTTGGTCGTTAGCCAGGCTTGTTAGTTTCAACAAAAAGCTAGTGTGTTTTATTGTAAAATGATTTAATTATTTTTTAAAGTTTTTATGGCGAAAAGATACAGAGTTTGTTTGGGATCCTTGAATAATGGATGTGTATTCTATGTGATTTCTCTTTTTTCATGTAGATGGGATTGTCTTCCAGTTTTACAGTATTATCAGTTCAGGCTTCAGCACTACTTATGGTTTGATTGGTTGGGCGGTAGCGGGATTGTACTCATTGGGACAGAGTCTTGTATCCAGTCTGAGAGGTTCTCAAACTCAGCAACCTAGTAGTAATCGTCCTAGAAGCACCGTAGATCCAAATGGTTCGAAACAAAATCGTTCTGTGAGACGTCAGGTAAGTGAAGTTGATATGTTTTATTCTGACTACCTATAATGTGTGCAATATCACTGTTGATTGTGCTATTTTTCATTTTTTTTAAATTTTAAAATAGGGTAATGTTGCTCGTCTTTCACACATGCCTGATAGTTCGGATGATGAACAAGCGCGATGGAACGGAAATTCTACAGAACAGCTGTGATAAACAATATTTATAATCTGTTATTAAAATGTATTGTCTTTCTTCACTTTGAATTGTATATTCAGTTAACTTTTAACTGCATAAAGAATAGAAACAAGTGATAACATTCTAGGTAGAAAGAATGTGAAGACAGTTGAAAAAAGAAACCAAATGTGTTATCTTCTTTACAAATTTCGGTAACAATTTTTTTTTATGACTCATAGAAAATGTATCCGATTTTGTTTTTCTGATCTAAAGTGTTCTTACTTATTAATCATTTTCATATTTTAAAAATTATATTATCAATACAACTAATAACATTTAAAACTTGTTGGATACATATGTTATATTTAATATCAAGCATGTAATTATCTTTATTCGTTATACTTAGAATATAGAGCAAAAGTCAAATTGTTTGCTCTTATCTGTATCTTCAATCTAGCCTTGTTACTGGTCTGAATGTTCCCGCGAATCATTGATCAGGTACTACGTATTCAACTGTTTTAAAGTTCTAATTTCATTTCTAGTCATTAAGCTATATACTGTAGTTTTAGGAGTTAATCTAACAAATTGTCAAATGTTTTTTCAATATGAATTCGCTTAGTTTATTACTACTACTCTTCCATAACTTATCTTATTTTTCAACATTGACTAGACCTCACTGTTTTATGTTCCGTAGAAATCCAACTATACCGTAAAAACTGTTAAGTACATTCACTGAATTGTTCATTAATTGTATTCAAAAAGCCGGTCACTTCAACCCGTTTACATTATTGATGCTGAAGGTCAGATAGTAGAGATTGAATGTTTTTAAATTTAGTTGTATTGGATAGCTAGCTATCTTCATCACTTGTTTTTGGTTTATCGCATTCATATTGAAACCTTACAATACTAAAATTAGACATCGAAAATGTTAAACTACCTTCCGAACAGAATCATACCTCTCAAAATGAAGTGATTATCTTGCTATAACAATGAAAAATATACTATGTTTCAACGATTACTTAGTGGCAATAAGACCATAACATATGAAAGTATAGCGACAGTGGAAATCTGTTTTTACACCTTATCTTGAATAAATTTGCTATATCATACGTTTCAATATCTATGAAGAAGGTTTGGATTTCCTAAAAAAGGACTTATGATGTCGTTATCGGATTTCTCATTTCTTTTGTTCGTTTCTATTTAAGCTGAATATAAGTATTATTTCGTTTGTCTAATTTATAAATCTTTAACGATGCGATCCGTTTTGATCACTGACGAATATCAACTGAAGAACTATTAGGTAATCATACTGCTGTCAATACAAATTGGAAGTTGAATTCTGACTCGATTGTCTAAATGGTTGTTGAGGGCCCAACCTGGATACATGAATACTCGATATTCGGTCCCTGTTGGGATCATAGGTATTAGTTGCCAGCTAGAACATAATAACTGTTTTATTTCTTCCTTGGTTTGTAATAAAATGTACATGAATGATGAGAACTAATTTTATCCATTAAACTAATTTCCACAATCAACTAAATGAACCAAACTAAGTTAACAATTGACAAATTAAATTTTCACAAAACAATATATTATTTATTTGTCTTATCATATTTAAATAATGGAAAGAGGCATGATTATTAAATTAAGATTTTCTCAGACTTTAAAGCGTTACACATTAATGCAAGAATAAAAGATAGTCTGAATTAGTACCAACACAAAATTGGTCTGTAAAAATAGTTAAATTCATTATTAGTACTCATTTGAAATTAATCCATTCTTAATGTAAAGTGTTATGTGTAACAGTGAGGAATTGATAGTTCATGCTGAAGTTCACGATGATTATTCATGTCATGTAATAAATTAGAGAATGATTAGACTTCACGGTATCAAAATACAATTAATTTATCAACGTTATTTGATGCAACAATAAGAGTTTTATCATTATTATTACTATTATTATTATTATTATTATTATTATTATTATTATTATTATTATTATTATTATTAGAATAGTTTCGATATTTTGTTTATGTCGATCATTTTTTAACAAGGATGATGATATTACTAGCATTTGAAATTGTTAACGTACAATTAACTTCTCTATTATTATTAGAATTTGTCTTGGTTGCCATTTTCCAAATGTGAAATTTTTTTTCATGTTTTCAATGAAATGTAATTGTTGATTGGAAAACTTCACCATTTAACTTGCATTGATTCTTCTGTAGACGTAGATCCATGTCTACATGGCAATTTAGTCACATATGTTGATGTATGATCATCGCTAAATGATGCAGCTTTTATTGGGATATATGAATTTCGCTTCATATTCATAACAGATAGACGTAGTGTATGGAAATGCTATGATGAAAAAATTCTTGCAGATTAATAAAAATCAAGATTAACTTTCTAACAAAAAATACTGAACAACGAAGCTAAGTGGGTGCTTATGTAGAACTTTTGGCATCACTGACGCATAATTTGTCACATGATGTATTAGATATGAGTAAACTTTTAATAACCTTCAGTGAAGTTTTACTGTAGTTTGGTGCATGGAGTTACAAGGTTACTAATTCAAAATATCAGGTCTTTTAAATGTAAGCGGAAATAATACTTGAGTTAAACTTTAGTGACATATTGATCTCTCTATACTCAGCAAATTTAGTTATCACGAAATGATTAGCTAAAAAGTATTGAAGAATAGGAAGTACTGAACTACATCATTGCATGATGCTTTCTGAAAGTAGTCATCTGCCCTAGTATCGAATTCACATTCTAAATGCCTCACAGTGAATGCTTAAACATTAAGCGGCTTAGTTTGCGGCCATTGGTTAAGATTTCCAACTTCAGTCAGCTCGTGATGTTGCGTAGTCGCCATCCATTGGTGTAGGTGACATTTATTCACAGTACGCTATTCTGTTTCAAATTAAATCAGTGAATCACATCTCATGATGCTGAACTAATTAGTATAGTTTTAAGTTTCTTTTACGTCATATATGAACAACTATAAGTTGATTTCCGTATTTTATGTCCTTAAATTTTCCGTGCATCTGATCCCTATTGAATGGATGATTGTGTCTTGCGGTTAAATCAAGTTCCTGACTTATTTAACAGTACACTGGATTAATTACAGGAAAATTCTCATTTCAGCGAGTCATACTGTTCAAAAACCTACTTTAATTACATTTATTTAGTATTAGGCTTCATTTTTCATTTACTGTTACACAAAAACTGATATATACACGTACTCAAATAAAAAAATGAACACTGGTTCTAAGCTATACTTGAAAAATTTTACATTCTTCTGTATCTTTTTTTCACAGAAATCCTATGAAATCAACCCACTAAAAAATGTTACAATGAAAATAATATTGGCTTTATTCAATATTTCATATTATACTGATGGAATAATTCTTTAGCTGTTTTCCTACAAGATAGAACAAACAGTATACTTATGGAAGTAATCCAGTCATTTATTCTTTGATGCTGATATTAGTTAGGTGCTAAAAAAATACCACCATTCATTCCTAATCTAATCGTTACCTAGCAACCTTATAGAGTAGAGTATAAGGTATTGGTAGTTTAATGGTTTTCGATCATAAGTGTTTTCGAAGCACTGCTAGAGTATCCTAGGAAAACCGCGTAAGCAATGCTGGCGTTAGGAAACGGGTACCAGGTAAGGACGGCAGATCAATTGATGATGTATTGAAACTTCGTCAGTTGAGGTGGTTGGGACATGTGTTACCAATGCCCAAACACCGACTGCTTCGTTGAGCTATGTTTTGTGGTGTAGGAGTAAGCTTAAAGAAACTTAGGGATGGTCAGATCAAACTATGGCACAAATGCATGAAGTCACTGGCGAGTGGACTGAGTCACGTTGGTATGTGTCGACTACCTGGTTGGGGTCCTTGAAACGAAAGTCACCGACATGGCTGGAAATCGTTTACAATGACAAGTGCATTCATTCTTTGTGTTCCCTCAAATTGTAATCTGAATTCCTCACGACCCTTTTTTCTTTTTTTAATCGATTGTTCTACAGTTTGCACCTCGAATAATATATTCATCATTAATCTTTTTGATTACTGCTAATGCTTCTACTACCTTTACTACTATGAGATATGAATTGACTATTCGATCTATCTGTGCTAATGTGGTTTGACAACTTGAACTGATGTACGTACTTACGAAATTCTGCTTTGTAAATGACTGACTGATAAAGTTCATATTTACGTGTACAGTTTGGTAACAAAAATTCATCCAGTAAGTTGATCAACAAAAAAAATTAGGAATTTTTCTGTTTGACTAATTTTCATTTAAAATTATAGCTTTATTAAAGCTAAGAGGCAGTTTTGTTATCCAGTAAAATAAAATCCAAGACTTCGTAAAGTTATTCCCAAAGCTTGATGAGTTAAAAATAAAGCAATACTCACCTGAGTGGCTAGCAATTTTTGTGATATCGTTTCAATTACTGACCACGAATAATCAATATCTTCAATACAAGCCTTTTCATGATTTATCGAAAATCGAATGAAGTAGATATCTCTAGCTATTGAAGGTACAATATGAATTTTCCGGCTTTTATTAATAAGATGAACTAAACATCGAGTCAGTTCATTTGAACCCTTTGAACAGTATGAGTAGGATTAATAAAAAAATATTTATACGTAACAATTTGACAGACTAAGTTTACATAATCAGACAGACTGTTTTTATAATAATCTGTGGTATTTCCTCTTCAGAAATAATTGCATTCATATTGGACAAAGTAATTGTCTCTTGGGATATATCTTTGTAGTATCAAATCACATAGTTTATGATCAAGTTTGATATACTAGAAAGCCAACCGAAGTTTCCACTCAATACATGCCACTTAAGTTCAAGTCATTAATTTTAATGTAGGATAATTTTTCCCCATAGAGTAGATCGTTTCTGAATTCTAGGTCCTTATTCAATCAATTCCAAGAATGTATGAGTCAAAGCACTAATTCACAGTCTAGAAACTGTAAGAAGAATTGATAAATCTTAAATGGTCTTTTAAGGAATGATTACCATTCACAAAACTCCATCAATCTAACTGATATCTCTTATTCAGAGGTGATCTTGCCAATAGGATGATCAGTAGAAGAATTAACACTTCAGTGAATAGGATTTATCATGCAGCCAAATCAATAATTCTGTATAAAATGACGTCCAGCTGACGGGTACCCATTTCATGTTACTGATGATTGTGTTTATAAAGGTACGTGTACGAGTAGTTATATAAGCAGGTCATTTGAACATCTTATTGGGAATAAGGACGCTGAGAGGCTCACTACGTTGAATATCGGATATCAAGTGGGCACCATCGAATAATCAAGCTTGAGCTTTCTCGAATTACCAGAAGCTATTACCATCAGAAGCCATAAACCTGTTGTGTGTTTAGGAGAGCGCTGTCAGTTTGTCTTCAATATGGCAGCATTTTTCAGCTATATCTCCCATTCAGTTATTTCCTTGCATCATTCCTTTTTTACACCCTTTCCGAGCACAAAAATTTTGTGTTTAGTTGATCGTATAATAGAAATATTTCATTTCGTCTCTTGACATTATCTTGGCCACATTGTACTAATTTGTCTACATATTGACGTTGAACTAAATTAGTTTCCGTAAGTATTTTCAAGTCTGTTATTTCGATCTATAAATATTACAGGTTTTAAGCATCTGAAAATGGCCTTACAAAATAAAATGAATTCATGTTATTTTGTGCTCAAATCTTTGTTCTTGTTTTCTTCAGGTGTTGATCACGTGAACATTACTCGAGTCTAATAAATTGATTATTTCTAATAAATCTAGGTTTGTTTCTTTTCCTCAACATTCACAAACAATTAGAGATTTCTGTGATTTTATGGTAAAAGTAACGAACACAGTTCACATACGATTATTATTGTATTATGATTAACTTCAGTTTATATGTGATCTGATATTATTAGTTAGTTTTCCAGACTTATGTCCTGTTATTTATGCAGGTCATACTTAACCAAACAAGATAACCATATAGGTTGACAGAAAGGTAAGTTAATTACACATTGTATCTTTGTATTGTGTCTAAACATTAATGAAAAAAAAATAATTATTTGATGATTCCTGTCTAATTAGAACTCTATTATACAAACTATTGTGTCAGATATGTTTTTAGATATATTCTATTTCAGTCATAATCAACTGATGTTCAAAAACTACCAATGCAATTTTTAGTATATCTATTACGCTATCTAAATAAATTAGTGAGAGAAAAGCTGTCACTGTCATAGAAATCCATTTCATTGGAGATTTATTAATGAAACCTCTTTCTGCACAAATACTTTTCGTACATAACTTTCTTGCAATCCGTTATCTTTATTGTCGATAACATTCGAATTTCATACGGAAATTTTCATATATTCCGAATTGTTTTCAAAGGATAATATATGATGAAATAATTACAACTGACAATACAACCAGCCATGAAATTTGCAATACAATTTAACAGGAAAACATAAAAATTTGATCGAATAAAATCAGTTGATCAAGAAAGTATTCCTTACCTTAATTTCCTTTTGAATCTTACTACTTAAGCTCATAGTGATACAAAGATCATGAAATCACTTTGTACATGAAGTACTCATGGCATTCAAATAGACGTTAAAAGTTATAATTTTTTAAGTCAATCTAAGTTTTCATACTACAAATAAATGATTCACTACCATTAATACTATTTACCAATTGTACGTAACATATGACATAATGACAATATGTATTTTAAATTCATTCAACTAAGAATGAAAAATAATAATAAAATTTCATTGTCCTACCTTCAATCTGAAACAAACAAGTCCCATAACTGGATTACCAACAATTTCATAAGCGTTATTTGACTTTACTTTGTTCACAAAATATCTTGCAAGCTGTATATGCTGAAATGTTTAAATGTATATTATTTTAGTATGGAGGATTTGTAAAAATTATTTAATTTTCATAAATTACATCACAGAATGACTGTAGCTATATAGTTGCTACGTCCTGGTATGGGACCTCTTAGTAGTGCGCATTCACGATCGCCCAAGCAATCCAACCTTAAACCTTCGGTCCTAGCTGACTTACTTACTTACTTACGCCAGTTTACCCCCAATGGAGCAAAGGCCGCTGACTAGTATCCTCCAACCTACTCTGTCCTGGGCTTCCTTTACCAGTTCTGTCCAATATTTCTTCATCCTTCGCATGTCCGTTTCTCGGCATAGTATATTCACTGGTCTTCCTCCTTTCCTTTGACCTCGATCCACCTTACTCATCAATGATGCTGCCCAGATTTGTAGAGCTTTTAACGTTCTCCAAGGCATCTCAGTCAAGAATGATTTGGTCGGTGCATGTTGTGTTGCATTGGAAAATCTTGCTTTTTCTTCTGTGTATGTTGATACCTACTCCTATTGAGGCTGCTGCTACACTGGTCGTGTTCTGTTGCATAAGTTGTTCCGTGTGCGACAGAAGAGCTGGGTGCTCTTCGAAGTGCATATCTTGCACCCGCATCCCAGCTGTCTACTGTATCCTATGCTTCCCCTCAGATGTTGACTTCTTCACAATCCAGTCAGCCAGAAAGACAAATGTAAAGGGTGAGAGTAAGCAGAATTGTCTGACACCGGTCTTCACCTCGAACAAGTTTGTCAGCTGTCCGCTATACACGATCTTGCAGTGTAATTTCATCATAAGAATTTCGTATGATGTTGACTATCTTCTCAAGCACACCATAGTTTCGAAGAAGTCTTCAAAGATTCATTCTATTCACACTATCAAATGCTTTCTCGTAGTCAATGAAGTTGATGTAGAGTTGGAAATTCTATTCAGTTGATTGCCTCAAGATGATCCGTGGTGTTGCGATTTGGTCGGTTCACGACCAGTCCTTACGAAACCCAGCCTGTTGATCTCGAATTCGTGCATCTGCGAAGTATTTCATTCTGTTTAACAATACCCTGTTAAAGACATTGCAGGGTACTGGGAGAATAGTTTCGTCTCTGTAGTTCTTACGCTTGCTGAGATTGCCTTTCTTTGGTATTTTGATGAAGTATCCTTCTTTCCAGTCTGTTGGTACTTGTTTTTCATCCCAAATCTTGCTGAAAATAATGTGGAATATTTTTGCAGTTGCTTCCTTGTCTGCTTTCAATGCCGCAGCTAGAATGTTGTCTGATCCTGCTGCTTTACCGCTCTTGATTTATTTGATGGCCATCCTTTTCTGTTCCAATTTTTGGTGAGCCAACAAGCACTGGGAGGTTCGTGGGTGTTGCTTCAATGTTCGATGCGTTCAGTGGAGCCGGTCGATTCAAGAGTTCCTTCAACTGCTCTACCCACCTGTTTTGCCTTTCTCTAATGTGGCTGATTACTGTGCCTTCCTTGCTTTTCCAATGGTTGTTCTGGTTTACGATAGTATCCAGCGAGCTTCTTTGTTGTGTCATATAGTTGTCTCATGTTTCCTTCTACTACAGTCTTTTCCGCCGTCATTGCTTTCGGATGTAGCAGTGAACGCTTTTTTTCCTATCATACCGGAAAGTGAATTGTCATTCAACATATATTTAATTGTATTGTGTATGTTCTTACATGACGATTGATTACATGCGTCATAATGAACATCGATCAAAAGAGTAGCGATTTAAAATTCAAATCTAATTAACAACGTAGAGCAAGCTTAAAATTGGTCGTTTAAATATTTATCTTCATTCAATCAATGAATAAATTAGTCTAGTACAAGTTCTGTCAAGGCAATAAATTTCGTATAACGTCTGCAAGCTTTTTATTCAGTCTAATAATTTAAAATGGTAATTAGATTAACTTTCAACATCATTTAATCATTCAAGATATATATTACTAGTACACTATGTTATTGATTAGCAGAAAATTATAAAATATACATTACTTCAATCGTATTAGCTAAGTGTGAAATGTTTAATCAATTCATAACCGAGGAATACACAACAGTTTATATCAAATAATGTTTTTTACTAAAAAAAAGCTAATAGAATCCAATGGCTTACTTACTGATCTAATATAATTCCTTAAACCTGTTGCGCCGTATATTCGAACGACGAACCATAATTTAAGTGCTCTAAATCTTCGACTTAAAGGAATACCCCAATGCTAAAATTTTAGACAAGAAAACATTTGTAACCTAAAATTAAATAATTTTAATTCAATGTTAAAAGATATCAAAAGTACACGTTTGTCATGAACGGATGATGATTTATTCTGAGTTGATTTCCAATGTGTAAAATTAGACAGTGTTTTTAATGATAAGATGAATTCTTATGAACAGTAATTTACAAAGAGAAACTGAAATGAATACGGCAATACTAAACAAATTTGATGAAATTAAGTTATCAAAGAGACTATCGGTTTAATTTTTGTTTAAGTATCAAACAATTGTGTTAATACTGTTCGGATAGCTAGTTAATTAGAAAAACATATATTTGAAACGACTGTTATTCAAAGTTACTGAATAGAGTACTGTCAAAATGTTTTTCTGACCACAGGAGAATCACATTAGATAAGTATCAATAAAGTCACCTATAAGAAATTCAGGTGTTTTCATTATTTGGATTTTTTTATGTACGTCACAAGTTATTGAGGTAAGATATAGTTTTAAAGCTACAATTAATTGTATTATTATTCTTCTCACTTTATCTAATCTCTTTATTTTGACCAATGATCTCACAATTTCATTTAACGTATAGGCTAATCCAAGTTCACACTTCATACTGATCATCTCAACATAATCACTTTTCATTATAGGGTTATGGAAATTGTTGTTTTTCATTAAAATCATGAATCAGTAAATGTTCGACCAACATCTGAAATCTGAAATCACTGAACGACCGCTTCGTCTTAGTATGGAATTCAAGCGTTTCGAGTGTGAGACAGTTGCCCACGGAAGACAACAAATGAGGTCTTTCGGTATTACGGACTGAGTCAAGTTAGACGTTAATACTGTCGGATGCCAGTTCAATTGTCAATGGGCGCGAGATGGAAAGTCGTGGGTTTAATTTCAGCGTTCACGACCGTGGTGCTGATGAGTCTCATACTAGGACGAAACAGCTGTTTAATGCTTCCAGGGTTTTCATGGTGGTCCAACACTGATCAACTCATGATTTCAATAAGAATAAACAATTTTCTCTCATGAAAAAATCCCTAACTCACACGCTATAATTCGAAACTATGTATTTATCTCAATTCTGATCACTTTCTTAGATTATTAATCCGGATGTATAGTCTTAGAACTTCGAAAGAATCTATTGAAACGAATATTATTTGTTCGTAGATTAGTGTTTACATATGACGGGAATTTTTAAACAGGTACATTTTACTGTCATATACGAGTGTTATTGCCATTTCACATACTTTTGTTTCGTAATAAACAAGTTATATCCAAGCACCTTCAGACAGCTTGAGAATGCTTACTATCCTTTCACGCCTTTAAAATAACTATACTGATCCATTTAATTTATCATAAAAGATGAATCAGTAAAAACAAAAAGGTGTTAAGATTCTGTTAGATTCGTTATAAAATGAAATGTGTAAACTATGTTCCGGTGCTTGCAACCGTCAAATGTATAACCATGATTTATTTGCTTTTTAATTAAAACTGTATTACACTAAGCGAAATCAATTGATGTAATTAACAAACTACAACTAGTAAAATTGTAATAACTCACCCTAAAATCGAGCGCTAAAAAACAAGAAAGTTCAATATGATAAAGAAATGATTTGTCAAGAAAAATTATTGATCAAATGTTCATAAAGTACCATTAATTCAAAATCCATTTGGCAGATTACAAACAGACTTCCAATAATTGAATGATTTGATTCAAATCACTTTCTTCATATGAATTTCTAGGACTAATTTGTCTAGATTATATCTGTCATATTCATTCAATCAAGCAAGTGATGCCACAGTTTTCAATTTATTCATTTATGTATTTAGTAACATAATACTGAAAACATTTTATTTGATTACGGAATTCCATTAAATGCAAACAAAGAATCGTTAGTTTTCATTCAATACAATACATTACATAAAGTTGCTAGACAGAGACAGATTTATTCTTGAACGATAACGAGGGTAATGCTTCAAGAACTTTGGGACTGTCAGACTTCCAGGATACAGTCCACCAGATAATTGTGAGCTATGGTTGTAGACCCTAAGTGGTATAGCTCACTCATTGACAATGAGGGAAAGAATAACTTTCTTCTTCATCTAGCTGGTGATCATTCTGCTTGAATTAACTATGGTAAATCATTACTCGCCTTTTAACTAGAACAAAATTTAATAGGCAATGAAACAGCATGAATAAGAATCGCATTCGTATTACAAGCAGTGATAGGGATATAATTATGTTCAGAAAATCAGCTATCCACACAACTAGTTAAGTAGCTAGTGAAATCTGTCAGATATGCATAGAAATACACATAAATACGAGGATTTGTAATTAATCATTCTAACAATTACAAATCAAACCAATATAAATAAGCTTCATCATTTAATCGTTAAATATATATCTCTAATATGTATGTGGAAGATTGTCTCGAAATATCGCAAACTGCCCGAGGTCAAATATGTACTCTACTGATTTTCGGTACAGATTAAAACCTTCAGTGAGAGGGACCCCAAGGGTCTCAGTTCGATCACTGGAATGGTTGTGAGTCCGCAGTGTTAATGAGTCTCACATGCTAGAATCAGAAAATTACTTAGGGCACCCTCTTCCTCAATGATTGCCTAGCTGGAATCAGTTAATGATGCAATCCTTGAAAAAATATAATTATCAGATTGTGAATCTGTGTTGTGTGTAGACTTGTAGCATAAATACCTCATATCCCTTCCTCATTAATCTTGGTACATCCATAAATGCTTTTGATTATTTACTAGGGTTTAGGAGAATTTAACTTCATTAGTTTAGTCATTTCTTCGTTAGGTGAAATGATTTTCTTAAAAAGCGTTGTTAGAAACGGTACTTGGGCATCAAGTGTTTGTTTTATGGTTTCGTAATAAAATCAGAGGTTCTTAACATTTCATTTTGAATAGATTCATTGACTTAAGTATTTCACCGCAAACACTGATTACTGTTGAGGAAAAATTGTTTAAATGTCCGTTTTTTCAATAGTATTATGACAAGAATATCGTTTGTTGTATTTTGTAATCCATTCTGACAGTATGAAAGCTAATTATAGATGACGTTGTTAATTTCAAGGGTTTTCGAATTCTTACAGTTCACTTCAGTTTTGAACGTTTCTACAAAGTCATCTATCTGTCTTACAGAATTGATTTTCACTTTTTATATTATTTACACGTTTGCGTGCATAACCATTACTGTTGTGACAATTTACCACATAATGACTGACTTTGATTTTTATTGATGAGAATCATGGTCACTGCCCAGTCTTTTATTTTACATGTAAATATAAACATTAGGAATCATGCAGAGTGATCCAAATATTACTTACTGTTATGTTGATGTTGTAAATATGACGGATTGACAATCATGCTCTTAGTTAGAGCTTTTGAATCACGTACCCTATATTCGACAAAAACAAAATATTCCGCTTTATAAGAGTTGTTAGTTGTTGCCGAATATATCAACTAATCCTATAAAGAAACAAGTTCTTTTAATGATGTAGCTTTTGGTGCAACTGATTGCTGCAAAAGATCTACACACATGTAACATGTAAATAGAAACTACAATTTCTATCTCCCGCAAACATATTTCCAGAATATTTTTATCTACAACTGATTGATATACATATTTTCAAGCCTTTAAACAGAAATTCTTTGTCACTATTACTGAAAACAAGTGAATTGTCGATTCCTGATATATTGAGTCAGTCAGAAATGGCCAAATCATTAGGCCATTTGATGTCTATCAGAAATGTCTGAAATAACTAATGCAAATGCAGTTCAGTCAGATGAAAATGGTCAATTAAAATTATATTGTTTATTACTACATTTTTTGCTTCTACTATTTAAGACTTCTGGCTGAGGTTGTAGAAAATAATTTATGGGAAATCGAAATTGTCAAAATTTCTAGTGAATGAGTAATTTTTAAAGCTGTAGTCCTATAACAATCTGTTCTTATTGAAAATCAGATGGTCGAAACCACAACTGTTATTATTTTTACATATAATCGCTAAACATATGTCACATTAATCAATAACATATCTTATATATCGTGAAAAAAGTGGTTTTAGCACTGGATAGTTGCTTCAGATTGAATTCACCGCAGAAAGACTAATATAAATTAATTTAAAATGACCAAACTGCATACATCAATCGAATACAACAGTATGAATATGATAATTTTGAATTTATATGTTGTAAATTTAACGTGAGTCTTTCCTACTAAATATGATGAAACGTAATCTCCACATGAAAGATAGTTCTATCTGTTAAATAGATAGACATAGAAATCATAGTGCAAAGAGTTATATTCAGCAAAAAAAAACGGTATGGAATATTGATTATTTTCATATTTTCCTCGAATGAAAGTAATTAGATCTTAAACATTATAGGCCATTGTAAACAAAATCTTATTTCAAGGTGATCACATCTACATTATTTGTTGTAGGATAGTTTGTAGCAGTTAATGAATCATTTGAGTGCTTTGAATAATCATTATATAAATAAACAATAAAGTAGTATCTGTTGTACAATTTAGAAAACATGTTTGTCAAACTAACCACATAAGACTGCAGTCATGGCTGACTAGCATCCACTTGTTCGGATTGATGTTAATCGACCAAGCATCCTAATAATACAAGAAAAATATCTCTTATTATTGACTGAAAAAAGAATTGTTGAATAATTTCATACAATGGTTGATGAATGTTACTATCCAGCCAATTGATTAATAAGAAGTTTCATACCATGTAGTTATAGAATTGAATGGATAGTTTTGTATTGTGACTGCAACAGTGAATAACTCAATATTTGAACTCTCCTCTGAAGGAGATGAATGAAAACTATTCAATGTTTCTGGTGATAAATAACAAGAAGTTTCTCGGAATTCGGAAAACTGATACTTAAGAATATAAGTCAGCTTAATGCAGTTGTATAGTTCGAAGTTATTATTAGGCTATTTTAGCTGATTCTGGTTTTGCTGTTTCAGGTGGAAAATAAGTAAAGAAGACTTATGAGGAAATATGACATAGACTGAAAAGGATTTGTTAAGATTTAGACTAAAAGGCTGAAGAGAAATAAAACATAAGAGAACAAAGGTGCATTATAGATTTAAATCCTAAAGGCTATTATAATACTAGGGGAAAATTTCAAACTGCTCCAAACGAAAGAATGGCAAGGTTTGGTAAATGATAATGAATTTCGGCTCAAATTTAAAAGTTGAGTGACAATAGTAAAATAAAGAAAATGCACAATTTGTGAGACATCGATAAATAGAAATTTTCAGGGCTCTTTAATAAAGCGTTCGAGAAAGTCAAGCAAGATAGCAATAATTTCATGTCCTGAAATTCATTTACTCTCTAATACGTCTCTAACGCTGGACAAAACATCTACACTAAGCTGAAATATTAGGAATGAAAGCAGAAGAATCATGCCTCTAACTGATATATAATCACAGGGTACTTGATAACTAGACAGAGATATCCGAGTATTGACTTTGATTAGATTAATTTACCGACTTCTTCTAATACAGTAGGATATGAACTATACAGAAAGTGGATCTTTCGTACAACTTTTTGACCAATCTAGGTAGATGAATAACAATCGTTCTGAATGTAAGAATAATGTTTCATTCGTTTAGAAGCTAATTTAAATATCAGACTTTTATCAACAGAATTAATTTCATATCAGTCAGCATTGAAGAAGTTTATTGAATCAGTCAAATTGGCAAATCAAACTTCATAATTACATATAAAGTGAATGAAAATGTTTCGATACAGACTTTCAACTGATTAACAGAACAGTATATTTGCTTTATGTAGACTTCCAATCCCTTATAATAAAATAGTCTTGAAGGTCGGATTCCTTATCTTCTGTCATCGTTACTGGTGTCAGTCAGTTTACTGAATAATTACAAACATTTAATTCGCTTTAGAAATTCAATTTGTTAGATAAAATTTATTTATAGTCAAGCAGAATAATACATAACCTGGAGCCGACTAAATATTTCTGAAATTAGGTTTAATTTCTCCTGTACTATACGTTCTTAGATTAAATCAAAGGAATTTCGTCTCTCCTTGAATTCACTCTATTTAGGTTAGTAGTACTTAGATTCTGACTCCAGTAAATTAATTTTTGTTACACTAAATCTGTGAATTCATTAGGCGAAAATCTGTGAGTCATCTGCTTACTTTAGAAGTGACTAGAAAGGTTTGCATCATGTTAGAGAAAAGGAATTAAATTTGACTTCGCAGATGATCTGACTCTTTGATCGCACATGCAACAATAAATGAAACGGAACACGATCAATGTAGCTGCAGCCTCAGTAACAACAGGTCTTAACATACACAAATAAGAAAGAGCAAGATTCTCCAATGCAACACAACATGCACCAACCTAACCACACTTGACGGAAGAGATTTGGATGATGTAGAAACCTTTACACATCTCGGCAGCATCATTGATGAGGAAGGTGGATCTGATGCAGATATGAAAGCACGAGTCGGCATAGCAACGGCATGGTTTCTACAATTATAGAACATCAGGGACTCAAAATAACTATCAACCAACACCAAAGTCACAAGTCACAATACAAATATCAAGACAGTTTTACTGTATGGGGTGGAAACTTGGCGAACCATGAAAGCCATCAACCACAATATACAAGTGTTTATTAACAGTTATCTACGCAAAATACTCCGGATCCTTTGACCAGACACTATCAGAAACAACCTATTGTGGGAGAAAAAAACCATATTTTAGCTGAGGAAGAAATCAGGAAGAAGCGCTGGAATTGGATTGAACGCACTTTGAGGAAAGCACCCAACTGCATCACAAGACAAATCCTCACTTGGAACCCTCAAGATAAAAGGAAAGGTGGAAGGCCAAGGAACACATTACTCTGAGAAACAAAGACAGATATGAGAACAATGAACAGAAATTGTAAAGAACTGGAAAAGAAGGAGCAGGATAGAGTTGATTTGGAAAATACTGGTAGGCGGCCTAAGCTCCATTGGGCGTAACAGGCGTAAGTAAGCATATTTCCTTGAAAATAGTTAAAGGGATTTAAAACATGATAAAAATAATTTATTACCGTTATTAATATTTTACTCATATATAGGATAGCAACGTTTAGCTATATAATCAATAAAAGATACTATGAATGAAATTTTTTGACGACTAAACTTACCTCTACACCATCTAAGTAGTGTCTGAACTCCGGACATATACATGCATTCCCTGCATAAGCACCGTCTACATGTAACCAGATATCGTTTTCACGACATACTTGTCCAATCGATTTCAAGTGGTCAAATGAACAACATGATGTTGTTCCAATTGTTGCACATACCTTAAAAACAACAATTTCTTTAAATGTTAGTCAACTGATTTCCTGTTTCATTTGTATATCTATCTAAGAGTTTTGGGAGCTAAACTTTTCATCAAAATGTACATCTAGTGAGTCTCTTTGATTGTTTCATTGGAAAACTGGGATATTAGTCTCAAATTACTGTTTTTCCTTAACTATATTTCAAATCTACTAATTCAAATCATTTTGAATATATCCCTTGATGCAACTGACATAATTAAACCAACAAGTTATACTTCACGTTAAAAATATAGAATTTACAGATTAGTGATTGTTCTATCATCTACAGTACTCAAAGTCCAAGGTCTTTGTCGGGTTTAGAGTATGTCAGTAAAATAGTATCACTGAAGTTATTCCATAATGTTCACAAAACGGTGACATAAATGTTCCAATGCACCTCTTTCAGTGGTATAGTTAATTCACGGTTTTACAATGGTTACTAAACAGTTATTTCGATATTTTGATCAGATACCTCATTAAATAGATGATCATTATGATAGTACAGACGTTAATTTACGTCTGTGAGCAGAAAAAAAGGTTGTACTCAAGTGAACTGGTGTTCTGACGTTAAGTTTAACGATAATCAATTTCATTTGACAGGTGTCAATACAAATCTTTATACGTATCAAATATTAGATGATTTTGTTTTTGTAAATTCCTTCACTGTATGGAAATTATTTTTTTAATATTCATATACTCTGAACATTTGCATGGAAAAATATCATTTGCATTTTATAGTTACATTGAATAGAATATTCGGTAAATGTGAATAAAATGAAACTATTCATCTTCAGTCCATATCATAAAAGTGTGAAGTAGGGACAGAATTAATCAAGTGGTTCATATGAAATGGCTCTTTCATTTCTACCAGGAGTTTTTGTTGAATTCACATACACAAAAATATAAGGTCGAAAATGTTTCCATTTAAGTATATCAAATATACAGTTTTTGTTTGTACTTTGTTTCGAAGTTAATTTGTGACATGTTTGAACTCGTTCCTTAATCACATCCTAACAAAGAAGCCTTGATTCTCCAAGTACTCCTTATCAAAAGCAATGAAATATAGTTTCTACTTGAAATATTTAAGTTATTTATGTTATTTATTGTATAAGCTTGTTTGATATCTGTTTAAATTTGGTTGACAGTTACACAGAGTGATCTTCCCACTAGATTGCTTCAGAGTTCTATTAGTGATATGCTCATCAATTCATATGCTTGAAATTATTACGAGTTCACCTTACTCGGTAAATGAGAGCAATGACAAATGATACAATGACACGATAGCCTATCCTCATTCGATTGTCTCCAATCCTGTTAACTATAGTAAGAAGTCTCGATAAGATGTAGAAAGTGTATTCTACAAGCATCCAGAAAATATGAGGTTCACAAGTACATAAATCGAGTTTATTTATACATGATAGAAACTTCCTTAGGTGAGTCACAAAGATAGCGTACTGAAATAATACATCAACCAATGACGACAGTCAAGGATTTTCTGAGTGGAAAATATAATCTCAAGCTCAACTGGTCAGCCCATGCGTGAAAACATAAAATCTGAAATTAGGTCATTTATCAAGTGGATTCTGGTGATCTAACGTCCCCAACAATTAATTAGACAGTACTCACTGGATTCTGATCACTCTATTTAACTGCTCTGCGAATTTATCCTCATTTCTGACTGACAATTAATGATTAGAAGTGAAAACATCAAGTTGTGAATGATTGCTTTTTACATAACCTGATACACGATGATATTTTGTTTATCTGTTTACTAATAATCATGGAAAAGCTTGTGCACTATATCACAGCAATAAATTTGTAATGTAAATTAAATCCACTACATTACTTCCTGCCAAGCGAAAAGATACATTGTTGTTTACTGATAACTACTGTTATACTTTAGAACAAAAATGAGAAGCAAACAAAGCAAAATGATCAGAAGCCTTTTTGCAAATTGGAATGCTGGTAATAAAATAATTATGAAGAAACGATACATTGTAATACGTAAAATTTCAATATAATAGAGTGTGTTAGTAGCTTGAAATCGTTGTAATACAATTGCAGTTGATATAAAGTATAACAAATGAATAGAAAGCGACATTAATGAAAAGGTAATATAAGAAGGCAACAAATTCTTAACTTACATAAAATGGAATAAGTCCTAAAGCCTTGTCTTTCTGAAAAAAAGATGATAAATATAAGTAGTATGGCTTTGATTACGTCAGAACAGATATTCTTTAGGCAAAGAAGTTAAGAAAAAGAAGGGAGACACATAGATAATGATATTACTGAGCACTCACAGTTTAAAAAGGACAGATGAGATCACCTATTCTTTTGAACTGGTATTTACTTTCAATATCTTTTTCTGACTGGACGCTAGCAATGGGACACAATTGTACATTTTTAAAAAGTAAGAGTGGTATGGTTCGAGGTATTATTGAAGGAAATCATAAAGTGGATGTAATTTTTCACAATGCCAATATGATCGTCATTTAAACATGTAGGTATAATTCTAACAGAGAATTATACTCTAACCGAGGTTGCTTCTTCCGGTGGTTGCTGATATGATGAGGACATCCACATCCCAGAGAAAGCACGGAATACAGAAGAAACCTGTGAAACAGCTCGACGATTCGGAATTTTCAGATTATCTAGCTCTTCTATCCCACAACTGGCAAAAAATGCAAGTAAAGATGTCCAATGTACCACTGCCCTCTACAGCAGTAGGCCCCAACATCCTCGAGATGAAAAGCAAGATCCTGAAGTGCATAACATTGAACACCAACCAAATCACACTTGATGAATAAGCTAAGAATGAAGTGGAAGCTTTCGCATTCCTGTGCACCATTACTACTAAAAAAGAGCCTGATGTAAATGCAGAGGCATGGATGGGCAAAGCTGAAGCACAGTTCCTAAAGTCAAAGAACATCTGAAACTCAAAACGATTTTCAGAAATTTTATTACAGACATCAAGAGAGCTCTGTTGTATGAAGCTGAAACTTGTAGAACTACTACAACAATCATGAAAAGGATAAAGTTATGTATAAACAGTTGCCTACGCAAGATTTTTAGACCAGTTGGCCAGACACCATCAGAAGTAGTTTATTGTCTCAGAGAACAAACCAGCCTCCAGATGCAGGGGAACAGGTCACACCTTACAGAAGAAATCAAATGGCATAGTGCCGCAAGTCTTAATTTCCATTCCTTAAAGTTAGGGAAAAAGAGGTTGTCCAATAGATCCACTGAGCTAGAAATTGGAAGCAGACGTCAAAAGAATGAATAACAATTAGGAATATCTAGAAAGGTAAGCTCAGTTGAGAGTTGTTTGGAGACTTCAGACTGACGGCCTGTACTCCACAAGGAGTAAATCGGGTAAATAGGTAAGTAGCGTTGCTTTATCGATACGTTGTATAGAATATAGGTATCTTTCGACAAGTGTTAAAATCATGTGGAACATTATTGAAAAACGACGCTATAAAAAAACCTGTTTTGTTCTAGTTTGAGATCCTTCAAAATTATTTATTTGCTAGCCAACTACGAATAAAGAACTTGAGCTACTGACTTCCCAGATAGCTCCCTTGTTCTCAGTGATGACCTTATGAAACTTTAAAATTGAATTGCTAAACTTTTTAAACAAAATACGCTTTCGTTAAATTGAAGAATAAGAAATGAAGGGTTTTTTTTAAGCAAAAGACTCATCTTACTTTAATAGCATTTTGTAAAGTTTCACCATGAATGCTAAAGTCTCCATCGACTGGTAAACGATGTAATTTTACAAAGCCAAGCACACTAGCCTTTTCCACAGCTGAATGAGCCTGTAAACGATGAAAATATTTTTTCAAGTTAAAGAATATGATTTTTTCAAACTTTATCTAAAGATTTTTGACGACTTCAAGTAAGGCATTTTATACAGCAAAAATAATTCTATGTCAGTTGAAGCATTTTCAAAATGCTTTCTCGTTTTAAAACTCAAAGGTATATATTACTGACGTAGATAGGAAAGATAGAAATAAGTCATTATCTTGTTTCTCTAAATAAATTTCAAAGAGTCTGTTTTTAAGATAAAATAGTTATTTACAGGATGATATTATCTAGCATCTTACAATTCGCTTACAAGAACACAAGTAATGGAGCCTATTATTGATATAAAGGAATTTTGTATAAAATAAAAGGCTATTCAGGAATGAAACTGGTCATAAAGCACTTTTTCTATTTTCAAAAATGATCAAGTTGAAGTTCATTTATTTAACTATACTTGATATTCAGTCCCTAAGGGATTTAAATATTCAGTTTTCAACTGGTAGATCTCAAGTTTTGCACCCCACTTCACTAACTTTACTTTTGGCAGCTGAGTAGTATCACTAGCCCTCATATAAATAAAATATGGTTCCAAGCTAAGTAAATCAATCCGTTGATGAAACATATGTATAACCAGCATTGAGGTGGTAAAAGTACAACAATGACCAATAAACTACTAATTCAGCATATCTTCCAAAAAATGATTATAAGAATAAGAGTAGATAAACTTACCAAAGTGGATGAATATGCCACAAGTTTGGAGAGAACTATGATTTCAGGATCTAAATCACTGATCATTTCAAAAAGGTGTTTATAACGTTCTATTGCTTGATGACGAGCAGCTAACATTGACACAAATATACAATCACTTGCCGATGACTAAAAGAGAGAAAAGTGATTACACGAATCAGCTGATCAGAGAAGTAGATTGCTTCAAGTAAAATATTTATTCGTTTGCTGTTCATTAGTTTCGCCTAATCTCCCTTAGTAAAACAGTTTATTCACGCCGTCAATTCTAACATTCTTCTGGTTTATTTCTTTTTAAAATTTATTTTCAGGACAAAATCTAACAAAGGTTATATGATAGCCCTACATAACTAACATGATTTGATGATTATGAATTCTATTCCTATTGTGGTTTTAAATAAATAATAGTTTGATGATTCCTAGTTTCCATTAGTCGCCTAACTTAAATCGCTTCATAATCGCAGTAACAACCGACAATCGACCAACGTAAAATCACAAGTTAATAATTGTTCATTAACTTTACTATCCTATGAAAAGCACTAATCTACTTAGATTTTTAACTAACGAAAGTTTAAAAATTTGTGTCTAACATATATATATATGGTTTAGTCAGTAGATTTTAAACTGTCTATTCATAACAACATTCGCAAAAAAAAGGATTGTTCAAATCCACTTCTCATCAGTTACATGTATAACTCAATCATAATAAGATAATGATAATAATAGTTAGTATAACTGAACGAAGATAAAACTTATGAGCAAAATATCAGAGTTTACATCCCGGTGGGAATCTGGAAACTCAAACAGTCATGAAAACGATGTATGTTTTACAATATTAAAAAGAGATCTTTAGATTTTTTGTTGATTTATAAGAGATTTTCAAAAGTGGAAAATAAGTTTAATCGTAAAGTGATATCCTATAAAGTATTACTGATAGCTAATCATCTGAATTTATGATCCTTCATCAGTTCGTAACGTCGACTTCTTACAGAACTTAATCCGAAATTTCTGGTTCTTGTTAAAATTCGCATACCAAAAAGCCTTTCTGTCATTATTGTATAGTACACATATTCAAATTAAGTCAATTTACAATATAATTCAGTCCTCATTTAATCAAATTTCAAGGTAACTAATTCACTCCAAACTTGATCAGGTCACTATTTCCCACTGAAGATTCTGAAAATCCATTTGAAGATGACCATAAGTATTTTATATATTTCAATGTTAAGTCCCATTCGATTATGTAAGTCAGGAAAATCATCTACTCATAAATAGACAAAAAAATATTTGAATTCTAAGTGAATAAGATTTGACAGGTAAGATCATATAACAGTGTGTAAAATGTTTTACAGCTCAAAATAAGAAAAGAGGCGGCTGGAAACTTTCTTGAGTAAAATGAATTCAGTTCATGTTAAATTCCATACACGTTCAATGGAACTTCAAGTTTAATATTCCTAATAAAGTTTATGATCATAAACAATTTTTAGTACTAAAAAAAAAATTCCCAGTATCTATTTATGTCTTCATCATCATTATTTAACTTTACTTGTATTACACCTCCTCCAATTCCACTACTATGTAGAAATGTTTCAGGTAAATTCAAAAGTTTTCCCATCCAATCACACATTAAAATTTCCAATTCTGTAATTACAGGGCTTGCAACCTTGAAGAAAATAATAAAATAAGAATAAACCTATTAAAAATTAAGTACAGTGCAATTTTATCTATCTCTGATTTACATAGAAAACAATAGATGAATAGTGTAACTGTAATTTATATTCTCACAACTAACCTATTTTTATATCACTCTGTTGAAATAATCAATAGCAGTTCATATAACTGAACTACCTGTGATTGAATTCTATTAATTCTAATGTTAAACTATTCATACAACTTTCAGGTTGCTTATTTAACAATTAGTTGTTTTACTACCTACCGAGATTTTCTATGTAATTTCGGATCTTTTATCTAACACTGGATTACTCTCATGAGATTATTAATTAATTAAACTATGGTTATTCTTAATCGAACAATAAACTAACACCATTCATCTGTTTCACATAGTGTCGGGGACGTTAGATCCCCAGAACTCGCTTGATAAATACCTTAATTTGGGATTTCATGTTTGCGAGCATGGGCTAATCAGTTGACCTTGAGATTTCATTTCCCACCAGGAAAATCTTTGGCTGTGATTAGCTGCTGTGTATTTTAGTGTGCTATTTTTGTGAGTGTCCCAAGGACGTTTCTATGATGTATAAATAAACGAGATTTGTGTGCTTGATTGCATTGTGCTTGTTGGTTGTTTGTAGAATATACTTTCCACGCTATACCAAGACTTCTATTTAGCCTTTTGGATCAAGGTAGCCTAGCTTAACACTGGTTCATTGCCTCGTTCGCGTTTATCGACTAAGATGAACCCGTAATAGTTTCAAGCATACTTAGTGACGAACCTAACATAGAGGTTTTACAAGATGAAAAGAAAACTCGAAAATATGATATTTCGTTACTGTTTGTTTTATTCTATCTGGTAAAAGTAAATACATCATTTTCGAAATCCTATGCATTATACTAGGATCAGCAAGGTTGATTGCATAGATTTAACTTTTTAACATCTCATCAGATTCGGTTTGATTTATGTTCTTAGTTATTAAGCAGCTCAGTATGTGACGTCAAAATAAATGAATTTGACTCAGAATTTAAGAAACTGTTTAAACTAACTGATGCCTAGGATGATTATAAGCAACACGTTTGAGTAACTTCTTAACGGAAACATTTATGTTCTAAACTAATCTGAAATGTATGAGAAGTGTAGAAAATTATTTGTAGAAATAATGCCAAAATCATATTATATACTCTTTCTCATAATGTAACATATAATACATTCTTACCCAAGAAAATCCATTACAGCCTAGCGCCGTAGACAACATATCAGCCATGATTGATGGCATTGAATTCGCTGCAGGAAAGTAAGCATGAAATTGAGGATGTTGCCAATGTGTCAGCTTGAATGAGAAATTACACAATGAGAATAAGTGTCATAAATTAAAGGATTATATTTAGATCATTTCGAGAAATATGAACGAACATATTGTAGCCTTAATTAATTTCAAGAAGTAACGATTTTTTACACGTTTTGGTCTTGATAAACTGAAAGTATCTTTAATACCTCATCATATTTCCATCTTTGTAGTTGATTTATACATACTAGAATTCACGTTTTAAATGATCAAATTTTCTATACTCTTAATAACATCTCAGAAACTACTAGTCGATTTCCAGTTTACGCGATACATCATAATGATTTTTCAATGAGATAATGTAGACAGGAATCGGTCTTAAATGTACTTAACTCCGCCTGAAGTCCTTCTGCGGTTACTACTAATCCCAAACCCGGATAAAGGAGGGGAGTCGGGAGTAGGGTTAGGGGACCTATCACGCAGAAAATCAACATGCTGAAAAAACGCTCAACATAAAAAATAATCCAAGCAATTCAAACTTTGCTCTGAGAGTTGAAACGTATTCATTTAAAAGAGTTATGACACCTCGTGATAAAAACGAAGTGACAAGGCCGATGACTCTTCTCATAACTAGAGCAAATATCAATATATGTACATGGAATGTTTGTACATTTTGGGGGACTGAAAGAACCAATCGAGTTGCTGTGGAGATGAAAAAGTAGAGCCTGGTAGTACTTGGAAGAAGTGAAACACAGTGAAAACGGGTCGGGGAAAAAGAACTAGTTGTTGAGCTCCGGCCATGAAGGGGAAAATGCCTCACATCCAAGGAATCTCGTATATACTAACCAGAGGAGCCCGAAAAGCGCCTATAGGATGGGAATCTTTTGGACATATATATATATTTATATAGCTTTTGATATATAATAAAACTTACTCCAGGCAAAATACACTTTTCAACATCATCAAATATATCCGACCATGTATCTGGTTGTTCTGGTGGTTGATCAGGTAGTAGATGTCTTAAATAACCAGGTTCCACATTTGGTAGAACAGGATATTTATGAATATTTTGTAAGTAATTTATTATAAATTCAATCATTTGTCTACCCCAATAAATGAAATCATTGGAATCCATTGTTTACTGACAGATATAAGCCCGATTAACTATTATAAATAGTTAAAATAATATAAATAATACTTGAATGTAAAATATATATATATATATATATATATATATATATATATATATATATATATATATATATAACAATATTTGTGATTGTAAATCACTAAATTACGTAGATGATTATAAGTTTCTATTGCTGAAATTAATTATAGAAGTCAATATTTAAATTTCTATTGAAGATATTCTCATAAGTCAAAATGAATTTGAATAAACACTAATTATTTCTTTGAAATTAAGTTAATTCAGTTTCAATGGATGTTTTATATGGACACTTTATAGAGTTGTAACGATCCTTGTATACACTCAGAGTAAAATAAAACATTTGATCAAACTTACAGATCGATACAAATAGTTAGGAGAGTTTCACATGTTGTGACTGGAATGTTATATTGGTTTCATTGTAAGTTTTCGTATACAATTAATCTTTGTACATTTCCTAATATACATGTATGCTCTTCCATATTTGTTTGCTATTACTACTCTTTGCCTATGTGAATTATACAAGCTGATGAACTTATTTTGGTAAGTTAGATGATTTTTGGGGACGTTAGATCCCCAGAATCCACTTGATAAATGACCTAATTTCAGATTTTATGTTTTCACGCATGGGCTGACCAGTTGAGCTTGAGATTGTATTTTCCACTCAGAAAATACTTGACTATCGTCATTGGTTGATGTATTAATTCAGTACGCTATCTTTGTGACTCTCCCAAAGAAGTTTCTATCATGTATAAATAAACTCGATTTGTGTACTTGTGAACCTCATATTTTCTGGGTGCTTGTAGAATACACTTTCTAAATCTTATCAAGACTTCTTGCTATAGTTAACAGGACCGGAGACAATCGAATAAGGATAGCCTATCGTGTCATTGTATCATTTGTCATTGCTCTCATTTACCGAGTAAGGTGAACTCGTAATAGTTTCAAGCATATCAATCAACAAGCATAACAATGATAAACCTTCTATTTCTTTTTGCATTCATTCATTATTATCTGTCTACTGATCTGAATGTCTAAAATCTGTACTTCCATCATCATCTAGGTGATCCAGTGACAGTTATATATGCGAAATTTATCAAAGAGTTAAGTTTTATCATCATTAGATGGAGTCAACTAACAAAACAACAAACTTTTAATCTGTGAATTTTATTTTAATTGACAAACATCTTAGGTAAATGAAATTTGTCTAATGAAAATTAAATATCACTATTTCTACCAATATTCATAGTCTACTGTCAGCGCAAAAAAAAAAGATTTTATTTTTTAATTCTTTAGTTAAACTTTGAAGAAGGTATTCTCCCTTAGCTAATCTTCACATGTATTTCATAAAACTGATCTTATTCAATGTAACATCATTAAAATTATTTTTATCGCTTCACCAAACTACATCAATACAATTCTAACGACACATTTGTTTGTTATACGTCGTCCTCAATACTGTTCACTATGATTTCAAAATGTCATCAAATCATTTTTGTGGTATTTTTGTCATAAAAACTTGAATGACATCGATTCGTGATTTGTTCCAGTAAATATGAATGGCAAGAATAGGCAGGAATTAATTTATTAATATCAAATATTGTATTGTATATCAATGTTACTCTAGTTTTTTCTCCTTTTTTTCTGCTGTCTACTTAAAACATACTACTCAAAAAATAAATATAGACAATATTTGATGGTTTAATGCTTACATTCATTTAGTTTATTGATAAGTTAGCTGAATTAATCACCAAGATTTCTTGTTATTAGTACTCATCAATGAGATAACGAAGTATGTGTGATGTCATTTTATTTTTCATGGTAAATAAAATCATTCATTATGTTTAAGCTTATATTATGGTTTTTTTTTGATAATTACAAATTCAATTGCAACTATGGAAGAGATATGCATCCACTGAATTTTGAAAATATCTTTCTTAGTAATGTATGGAATTCGAATGCAATTCTATTTTCATATAATAAAGATATTTTCCAAAAGAATAAGGACTGTCTAATAAATCACCATACTTATGACAAATCGTCTGTATACAATTATTGAAACAAAATAAATGTAATCTATCTGATGCTACATTTACGTTTGAATGAAATGATATCAAATGCCGGTGTATACTACTTGACTAATATAAACAAGTATAGGATATCAGTTGTATTTTTATGTAAAATGAAATAAGGATTTAAAAAATGGATGAATCTCAAAAAGAGCGATGTAATATGTTACCAGTAAACAGACATGTGAAATTTTATAAAAAACGGATAATCAAAATACGATCGACTGTGGTATTACGAACCCCTTATAATAATGATAGTCTCATTTATCAATCACAACAGAAAAAATATAGTACAGACTTTGTAACATTCTTACGTCAAACGATGAGTACTTGTGTACAACTCTTTCAAGAGTGAAATAGTTACTCACTAAAGGTATTGAACCAGAATGTCACGATATCATGAGTTGAATTGATGTTAGATATATAAACCATTAGATGGAAACTCGGTGGTTTTAAGGTTATGAGCTCTCAGAGAGATCTGAATTTCATAGCGTCTGTCCCTATTGTGATCATGGACATACACTACAAATGAGTCTCTCATACTAGAACAATCGTTTTTTTTTTGTTGTTGACAAAAGTCAGTCTGCGAAGTAAACTATGTAACACTCATATTCAGTTGACTTGAATTAAGTTAAAAGTTTCAATTAAACGAAGCACAACTGACCTTGTAGTAGACAATACAACTTTTCTTGTTGAACATGTTTCACTTCGTTTATAGTAAAAACGATAAAATAATTAAATCAACAACAAATACAACAGTTGAATTTAAAATTATCCCATAACTTACAGATAATGTAATAGTTCTGTTATTTTCTTAAACATATGATTCACAGACTAGTAAATTATATGAATTCATATGAATTCATTTTAGTATACACACTAAACATAAATAATTCTTAGTATACTCTCATTCATTTTAAAATAAGGCAATTAATACACCACTGCATAAATCATCATTTTCTCATAGGCTCAAGTTATCCAATCATTTTAGATAGATTGGTGTGTGTGGGAAGATTATCCATATTCAGAAAAAAATTGTTTTACTTACAGCTCATGTAGATCTCAGTTGTTTTCAAATAATTTTATCCTCATTCAAAAGAATAATTATCATTTCACACATGTATAGAACAAAGATAAAATCAGATAATGATATATATATATATACACTTCAGTTAATTTTCAATGTCATAAACACACATGTCAAAATGGACTGTTTAAAATCATCTCATAAATTTTATGAGTCTTCATTTATTTAAAGATTTATCTGGTTATTATTCTCCATGAAAAAATCAACATCAGAATTCTCATTCATATTTATATTTATAAAAGAAGATCGCTTTTGGTTTCATTTTTGTTGTAAAATTACTATAGATGATTTACTCAACATGAAGCAATTTGTCTGTTTCTAATTATAGATCATAGTATTGCATATAATTATATCAGTAACTTAGAATGAATCGAATAGTGTTGTAAGTTTGATTGAGCTTGATAAAAGTGATAGCACTTGAATTATTGTTTGTCATTTGAAATTACATGTCTAAGGTGGTTTACATATATTCTGTCATTATATTAGAATAATATAAAGTAATTTTGCTGTGGACGTTAGATCCCCGGAAATCGCTTGATAAATGTCTTAATTTTGGATTTTATTCATGGGCTGATCAGTTAACCTTGAGATCACATTTCCCACCAGGAAAACCCTTAGCTGTGATTGGTTGCTGTGTTATTTTGGTGTGCGATTTTGTGGCTCTCCCAAGGATGTTTCTGTTATGCATAAATAAACGCGATTTGTGTGTTTGAGTTCATTGTGTTTTCTGGGTGTTTGTAGAATACACTTTCTACGCTATATCAAGACTTCTTCGTTAGTTCATTTGGGGCAACGGATCAGAGTAGCATAACGTGTCACTGCTTCATTGTCTCGTTATCGTTTATCGACTAAGATGAACCCATAATAGTTTCATTACTGAAAATAATTTTACCTTCAATGATAGTGAAATTATTGATCAGGGTTGAGATGTTTTTACACAAAAGTAGGATAATTTCAAATCTATCCAGCTGTATTTAAAAGTTTCTATTATTTTCATTCCAAGCAAATACAGTTCAGTTATTTATATGTATTTATTTGTCAGTCAACATAAAAGTTAGATTTGCTTATACACAAATACAGAAATTATAACTTATGCTTATCCGACTGAGATGAGAAACATCCTAAGGACAACTGGTCAACATTTAACTACAACATTTATTGAGATCATTTTTGTACATCTAAATTTTAAATTAATGAGAAATCATTAATGATTTAAGGAAACATAAGTCAAACAACATTTATATCAAATATAAAACAATATTAAACTTATGAAAACATTTAATTAACTAGTTAAAGTCCATTTAACTATCGAAGATTACTAAATTGTTTTAAGTCGTGATCAGTGTAGTTCAAACCTATCGGGTGTAGGCAGCAACCACCGAAGACATTGGGTGAGGTTGAGAAAAATCATTAGGCTGATTAGAGTTAGACATTAACACCGTTGGATTACGGCTCAGTGGGCCAGACGTTAAACGTCCGGGTGCAAGTTCAAAGGTCCTGGGTTCGAATCCTGCATGTAGCGCAAGTCGCGGATACGCAGTGCTGATGAGTCCCATATAGGGAAGAAACGGCCATCCAGTGCTTTCAGGTTTCTAATGATAGGCTAACCATGATTGATTCACGATTTCAATTTTAATGGTAATCCTTACCTATAAGATAGATGTAACATAAATAATTGTCTGAACTGTACATCACACTAACTGCTTATTAATGCTATCCAGCTTCCACAGAAATCAGTTTAATTTATTTGCATGGCTGAGTATCTGATTTATTATCCGTTTAACCACTGAGATAGAGTTAATTTTAAATGAGGA